TTTATCTCTTCCCCTGATTGCTATTGATTTCCTATTACATGTGGTGACTGAAGTTGAGGCAGTGGCTGGAAATTGAACTTTAATGATGTCTCTCATACCAAAATAAACTTTTTCTGAAGACTGACTCTAAAAGCACGTAATAAAGAAGTGGTAAAAAGCACCCCATCTCACTAAGCCTTCTTTAAAATCACCTTTTGTAACCATGAAAATGAGTCATTTGATGATCCTAATGCGAGAAAGGGGAGACTGCATTTTCCAAGATTAAATCCCTTTTTTGTTGGATGTTATGGGCGATAGTCTCCATTCTCGAGATTACATTATTAGCGACATTCCGGCTACTGTAACCAACTCACGATAACAGGCTAAATCAAATCATCAACCTCATTTGGCGAGCAAACTGATAAATAAAATGCTGATTTGATGAGTTTGAGTGGGGTGATTGTGCTAACATTTTCGCTCCTTCTTCAGGACAGATGACTTAGCCATTGTGGCATTCAGAAAAATGGCAGCTCTCACATCAGACTCAGTTTTCTTGCACATCTCTTGGTACAATACAAGACAATGAAGGGGACATTTCTATTCAGTCTGCGAACAGAAAGGCTTTGTGAGGAGTGAGACACTGAATCGATCCTCTCCTGAGTGTAAGCAATGTTTTTCATCTACGCTCGTTTCTCAAAAAATCCCCCTTCCCTCTGTACACATAGCAATGCGCATGCCCCGCCCACCTCAGGATTCTTCCCTTTCCAGTCGTAATTGCCCCGTTTTTGTGGGGTGTAAATTAACATAAGCTGCCACATACAGTAATTGTCACTGGATCTATTCATGAAAAGCAATGCACACTCCAACTGTTGCTTGTAAAAAAGTGAATTTTCGTATTGTTTTTACGATCCCACAAACGTCTGTTGAGACTGTGTGACACATGCCAGTCCCCTTCAAAATGTCACCAATGGAACATGTGGTTTTTGATTTGCATGTATTTTAAAGCTGACGCTTGTATGTTTAATGTGTCATTGTAGTCTTTATTGGCCAAACAGATGAAATCCTTCAGCATGGGAGTTCAATTGACAAGGTCTGTACACGACCGAGAGTTATAGTACAGAATAGTACAATAAGAGTGGTACTGCAGTACCTTAATTAAAAACACTGTATTTTATAACATTGTCCCCCAACCCACACACACACACTCGCATACACAGGCACACAGTACCCCACCCCTCTCCTCCACCTCCTCATCAACCTCCTCCATTTACACCTACATTCCTCTATGCACATCTCCGTTGTGCTGCACTAATTACAAGTGTGTGTGGTCAAAGCATTTTACTTTGAGAAGGAAGGAAGGTGAAGGAGGGGGCGGAAGGAGGGGACTTCACAGACAGACACAGACACACTCTTTCTCTCTGCTTGGCATATCTGACAGCTCAATCATGACTTATTTTAGTTCAGGACCAGGCCCCACCCCCACTCCTAACTTGGAGAAATACTGACTGTGAAAAAACACATGAAAGAAAAAATGAATGATTTCCACTCCAATCTGCATCTGAGGGCAAGCTGACACATTAATTGACGCATTAAAGTGGAGAGTAAATAATGACTTGCGGGATGAGGCTGGTGTGAGCTTCGTGGATCTGGAGCGCCACCCTGTGGTTGAAGATTAAAAGAAACACACACACACACTCAAATATGTGTTGTTGTTGTTTTTTTACATGTGGGCCTTGGACAGAAGAAAAAAAAACTGCTCTCAAATTCTTTGTGTGACCACCCGCCAATGTGGATGGTAAGAATAGACATTCTACCAGCCAATGCCAAAATCGATCAGCATTTGGCTAGAGGCTGGTGTTAATTTCCCACCTCACTACTGTGTACACAATATTCTGGGATGATATAGGAGACAGAGGAGAATGCGATCGTTGCACAAGTGTGTGTTCAACCTTTGCTAGTAGGCCTACACATAACATCACACCGCATGGACCCACACATCACACGAAAATACATTGAGACAGACTATAGGCCCTCTGTCCCTTTGCAAACTCATTTTCTTTGTGACTCCACCCGGCACGCTCCTTCCCGACAAAATCCATAATTTCTATTTGATGGTGCAGTCAACTGGGTTTCTGGAGGACGCTGGGCTGATATTGATGCGTCTCATTTCGGGTCTGCTGGGGACACCAATTACCCTTTCGAGAGTCTTTTGGGTAAAGATACTGGTGTACGTGTGTGTGTGTGTGTGTGTGTGCGTGTACGTGTGTATGTGTGTGTGTGTGTGTGTGTGTGTGTGTTTTGTCCGTCTGTTGTAACGGATATTGCAGTTGCACAAGCAGGACACAGTCCCTACACTTTGGACACATTTTGTGCGATAATGTAGGCTAATCTTTATAGTTGCTGCAATATCGTAGTCCCTGAAAAAAGAACGCTACTTGACTGCCTGTCTGCCTCCTGCACAGCTTAGCCAATGTTTTCAATGATGATGAAAAAAGGACATTCAATCGCTAATTAGACTGCGAGTCTGTGTATGCTGCGTTTCCCCTCTGGGCAGCCGAACGTTGTAGGCAGCCGAGCATGTATCCGGACCGGTAAAAAGAGTCTGACAACGGGCGAGTTCGTTTTACATAGCCTGGTGCCATAGTTATGCCATATACAGTGCCTTCAGAAAGTATTCACACCCCTTTTTCCAAATTTTGTTGTGTTACAGCCTGAATTTAAAATGGATTACATTTAGATTTTATGTCCCTGATCTACACACAAAACCCCACAATGTCAAAGGGGAATTATGTATTTAGAAATTCTACAAATTAGCTGAGTCAGTAGGTATTCAACCCCTTTGTTATGGCAAGCCTAAATAAATTCAGAAGTAAAAATGTGCTTAGCAAGTCAGATAATAAGTTGCATGGACTAACTCTGTCTGCAATAATGGTGTTTAACATGATTTTTGAATGACTATGCCATCTCTGTCCCCCACACATACAATTATCTGTAAGGTGCCTGAGTCGAGCACCGATTCAACGACAAAGACCAGGGAGGTTTTCCAATGCCTCGCAAAGAAGGGCACCTATTGTTAGATGGGTAAACATTTTTTTAAGCAAACACTGAATATCCTTTTGAGCATGGTGAAGTTATTAATTGCACTTTGGATGGTGTATCAATACACCCAGTCACTACAAAATTACAGGTGTCCTTCCTAACTCAGTTGACAGAGAGGAAGGAAACCGCTCAGGGATTTCACAATGAGGCCAAAGTTGATTTTAAACCAGTTACCAGTTATGAACAGGCTGTGGAGAAAACTGAGGAGGGGTCAACAATATTGTAGTTACTCCACAATACTAACTTAAATGACAGAGTGAAAAGAAGGAAGCCTGTACAGAATAAAAAGTATTCCAAAACATGCATTCTGTTTGCAATAAGGGACTAAAGTAAAACTGCAAAAATGTGGCAAATAAATGAACTTTATGTCCTGAATACAACGTGTTATGTTTGGGGAAAATCCAACACAACACATCACTGAGTAACACTTCATATTTTGAAGGATGGTGGTGGCTGCATCATGTTTTGGTCATGCTTGTCATCGGCAAGGAAAAGGGAGTTCTTTAGGATAAAAAGAAAAGGAATAGAGCTAAGACAAGGCAAAATCCTAGAGGAAAACTTTGTTCAGTCTGCTTTCCAACAGACACTGTGAGACAAATTCACCTTTCAGCAGGACAATAACCTAAAACACACAGCCAAATATACACTGGAGTTTTTATGATAAAAAGAAAAGGAACAGAGCTAAGCACAGGCAAAGTCCTAGAGGAAAACCTGGTTCAGATACTGTGAGACAAATCCAACAGACACTGTGAGACATATCCACCTTTCAGCAGGACAATAACCTAAAACGCAAGGCCAAATATACACTGGAGTTACTTACCTGAGTGGCCTAGTTACAGTTTTGACTTAAATCGGCATGAAAATCTATGGCAAGACTTGAAAATGTCTGTCTAGCAATGATGAACAACCAATTTGACAGAGCTTGAAGAATTGTAAAAATAATAATGGGCAAATATTGTACAATCCAGGTTTGCAAAGCTCTTACAGATTTATACAGAAAGACTCACAGCTGTAATCACTGCCAAAGGTGATTCTAACATGTATTGACTCAGGGGGGTTGAATACTTATATAATCAAAATATATGAGTGTTTTATTTACCATTATATAAAAATAAAAATAAATCTCATTTTACTTCCATATTTTGTGTAGATCGTTGGCAAAAAATGACAATTAAATCAATTTTAATCCTACTTTCTTACACAACAACATGTGGAAAAAGTCAAGGGGTGTGAATAATTTCTCAAGGCACTGTATGCCGATATCGTAGCGAGAGTAAATAGCTGCATGAAGAACATGAAATCGCTAGACTGCCTGTTTGTGTCGTGCTTATGTTTGCAATACTGACAACAAAGTTTGTACGAACATGTTGATAATGCATTTTCTGTAAAACATGTAAATAGCTAAATGTAGCCTACTCCCCTACTTTTTTTCTGAAAAAGAAAATGAAATTGCGCTTTACTGAGGCATGGAATGAAATAGTTCTAACAGTTTTGTGTACAACATGAAGTTTGTAGGCTACACCAGTGACCAGACAAAGGCGATAAAGGAGGGGGGAGCGGCAGTGGACCACTCAGCACAGCTGCTACATAGGCAGCGGAGTCTGCACTCAGCTACTTAAAATAGAAATATCCATATTTTTTGCCTGGGCAAATTGATATACAGAAACGCTGTATCCGAGGCCGCCATAATAACCAGACTAGCCTCTCATCCATCACATAGCTCTAGTTCTTCAGACATCCAAAAGTAAAAAACTGGTAAACACACACGCACGCAGCTACAGATCAGGGTACCAAGCGCCCTGAATTCATATGTCGGTAGTCAAAAGTGAGTTACCCGCCTTACATTATGCGCCACCTGGAAGAACACTATAAATTAAATCCCTTAATAACTGATGTATGAGTGTGTGTTTGTTACCACTTACCAGAGATACTTGCTTCATGGTGTCCCTCCAGGTCTTGTCGACGGCAGTGAAGCGGCGTCCCTCCTCTGGCATTTGGGCCATGATGTCTGGGGAGCTGAAGATGGGCTCTAGGTAGAGCCAGGTGGACTGCACCTTCAGCCACTCGTCCAGGATCTCCTGCAGCAGCAGAAGCTTGCCTTCCCAGTCCCTGGTGATGGATGGATGAATGGATTAATACATCAGGGTCATATTTATTAGGGCACACCGTATCAAAAAAAAATGTATAAAGGGATTTGAGATCCAATGTTTCATATTTGGCAAAAGTACAGAATGTCACCTTAACAACTGCACTTTGCACAAGGTTCTGCGCATGTACCACCAATGTGAAATGTCACACTACGAAAAATAAGACTCTTGATCTGTGCTATGGGACAATACCAAATGCCACCACCAGCCCCCCCCCCCCCCCCCCCCCCCCCCAAATCTAAAATCACTACTTAATAGAAAGAAGGCAATTCATGCTGAAGGTGATAGACAGGCTTTAAGAGATGTACAACGTGAGATCAGAAGACAGATACTGGTGGACAAGGAGGCTTTGAGAAAATTGTGAAAAGTCACATTCTCAGCGCCACCCAGAAGCTCCTCGACCCCTTTCAGTTTGCCTATCAGCCCAGTAGAGGAGTTGATGACGCCATTCTTCCTCTCCTCAACATGGTCTATAGACGTCTAGAGGGCGCCAAATCCCATATCAGGGTTCTGTTTGTTGACTTTTCTTCTGCCTTCAACACAATCCAGCCTTACATTCTGGCACAGAGACTCATAACATGCTGACCACACCGCTCACGTTACGTGCGCGAGTGTTGCAAAATAAATGTACACATACATGTTATTCAATCATTTCATCCAAACTGCTCGCGCGCGTCTGCGTAGCCAGGCGCTAAAATATAACTCTATTTTTGACTCTTGATGTGCTGCAAGACCCGCCTCTCCCATCTCCTCATTGGTTTTTAGGAGCATATACCCACGTGGGTGATTGAAAGATGAAGGAGCTCCACACTCCAGTCCAGTTGGTGGTGGTAATGCACCTTAAAGTTGGTTGCCAACCGCCATATAAAGTCCAAAGAAGAAGAAGAAGACTGAAGGAGGAGAGATCACTAGAAACTAACTAGGGTTGCCCTTTTATCTGTGGATGAATTGTCGGAGTAGAGGACCTTGTGCATTTCAGGTAAAATAACAACCCAATGTTTATATCCCAGGACAAATTAAATAGCAACAGCAAGCTAGCTAGCTAAATTGCCATGAATGTTTCATGCGTTTCGACCTGTCCCCAAATTAATATAGTTGGTTCAGAGTTCGTTTTGATAGTTCAACCTGCGTGTCCTGATCGCCTCTGCTGTGGATGGACAACATCAACATGCGTGCGATGGCGTACACGGACGCACACACGTGCCCGTTCTAGTCAGCATGTAAGGGACTTCTCCTTAGATGGGGGGCTGGTTTTGTGGCTGTTGGTCACAGCAGGTCAAGGTGGGTCCCACGTGTCTGACATACGCACCACCAACATAGGCTCCCCACAGGGATGTGTTTTGTCCCCACTCCTGTACATCTTGTACACTAATAGTTGTACTACTTCCCATCCTGACACTTAGTTAAATTTGCTGATGACACTGCCTTGATCAGCCTGTTGCATGATGACGAGAAACACCATAGCCCGGTCCTAAAATGACTTTGTAGAGTGGTGTGATGAATCACACTTGGTCCTCAATGCCAACAAGACCAAAGAAATGTGCATAGACTTCAGGAAGTTAACAACACCTACCTCTGCAACATCTACCAGAGGTCAGAACATAGAGATTGTAGAGGAATACAAATATCTGGGTGTCCTCTTGGACAATAAGCTTCAGTGGAATTGATGTACAGACCTGATCTACAAAAAGAGTCAACAGAGACTACTTTCTCAAATAGCTGGGCTCATTTAATGTTGAATGTACTATACTGACTCTGTTTTACAAATCTTTAATTGAGAGTATTTTAACTTTTTGTATTGTTTGTTGGTTTGGCAATGCCACTGTCAGCCATAAAAATATGCTGAGAAGGATTATCACCACAGCAAGCAAGGTATTTGGAGTCAAACAGACATGCTTGGATTATATCTTTAAGGTCAGGGCCCTCAGCAAAGCTCACAAAATCATTTTAGACCCAAGCCACCCCCTGTACCCAGACGTTGAGCTACTCCCCTCTGGGTGTAGTTATAGGGCACCCCCTGGCAGGAAAAACAGAACTAGACAATAATTTGTGCCAGGTGTGATATCCCTCCTAAACAGCTCGGGCTAATGTTCCTATCGATCCAGTAAGGCCAGCAGTCTAGTCTCTTTTTATTAGTATGTAACTGTTATGAATGTTATATTGTCAATTTGTTTTCTACTGTACTTAAACGCCACTTTAAACGCGTACATGATACTGCAACAACATTTCCCCATGGGGACAATAAAGTCAGTAAAGTAAAGTATAGTGCCTTCAGAAAGTATTCATACCTAGGGCTGTTACGGTGACCGTATTACCGCAGTCAAATTCCATTTGACCGTTTAGTCATGGTAACTAGTCTTCTCCAAGCTCTGATGCTGCCGATGTTCATTAGTAGCCTACCAAACTTGCTAACCGCCTGTTACTCAACACTCTATTGTCCCTCTAATCACTCTGACATCAATGCAAATGTAATCGAAAATCTAATCAAAAACTTAATGAGAACCCATGAGGTCATGTTGCGCAACATTTCTATAGGCTATGCAATTGCACGAGAAAACAAGAGTTCTGATGTCCTCAGAGGACTACTATATTTATTTCTCAACTTTCCTAATATTAAGCACATTGCTTCGCTTTACAACAGGAGTATAATCTACCTGGCTGGCATGAAAAAAAAAAAAAAAAGTCCTCCATTCACTATTTAAGTGCATAGATTAAATGTATTGTTTTTCCCCTGTTTCGTGACTGGTGCATGATAATGGTCCATTCTAAATCAAAACTAATTTCACGCATATATTATTTTGTATATGTAAAGACAAGATTAAATCAAGAATAGTCTGATGGGTGACAATATTAGCCTATCACTTGTGAATGATGCCCAGCTTGAGTGCAGTAAGCCAAGAAACAGCGCATGCATTTTCTTGCAACGTTTTCAAATCCCCTCATGTAGCCTAGCCCATAGGCCTATATGTTTTGATAAGGTTCGTATCACAACTAAAGTGGCCAAATAACTTCTTAAAATTAAGCACATTAATCCGCTTTACAACCGCTGTAAAGCCTGCCAAACATAGGTGGCGCATGAGTTTCAAGTTTGCGTAAGATAATTTTCAGCATAAAAATGCACCTTAATAATAAAGCATTACACGCAAAATAGCATTTGTGGTCACTTTTGAGAATGTTTTTTCTTCCCGCTAATTGATTGCATTTTGGAACATTTGCACTTATAGCCTACTGCCGTGTGTGCAATGCTGCGCTTACAATGTGAAGAATTGGCCTAAGAGTTTATCAACATTTTAAGCTAAATGTTCTAATCTGTTGCATCAGCCTCACTGCTTTTAAAAGTTGTTGTTTTTATGCGAGTGGTTGTATTAATTTGGGATCTATCGCATCCCACAACTGTCCCAGACTATGTTTGGAATATTTATTTATTGCACAGAATAGGTCAACTTTTGTACTATGGGGGATAGTAGATTGACTTGGCTAGTGCTTTCGCTGTTCGTTCGGCCTACTCATCTTGTTGGTTAATGAAAAGTTAATGTAGACAGTTCTTCCAACATTTTCAATATGCGCCTCGGAATTCGATAAGAAGGACGCGCGTAGTTGTGTCTGTCTTCACTTGTAGCCTACTTCGGAGCCAAGATAGATGCCTGTGAAAAGAACCCGATCACATGATGGGCATTGGCTAATAAGAATTGAGATAACTGAGAGAACCATGTGAGTGAGAGGTGCTTCGGAACGCGCAGCCGGGAGAAGGGAATTATAATTATTATATTTCAGCCAAGGGCACAATGGCCACAAAAGGCATGGAATTTTTTAGGGGTCATTATGGACACACTAGGGGGATGCCGCCGGGAAATTGGAGGCATTAACAAGTGCTTGTCAAGTTGTGAATGAGAGACTGATGAAGTGTGTGTAGCCTGCGCAAATAACAAAGCAGAGCTCATGCCTTTCATGTGACTTTTTTCAAATCATCATTAGAGTCGCATGATGCATCAATACCCAATAATGACAGAGTGAAAACAATTTGGGGGAATGTTAGCAAATGTATTGAAAATTAAATACAGAAATATCTAATTTACATAAGTATTCAAGCCCTGAGCCAATACATGTTAGAATCGACTTTGGCAGCAATTATAGCTGTGAGTCTTTCTGGGTAAGTCTCCAAGAGATTTCCACACCTGGATTGTACAATATTTGCACATTATTATTTTTAAAATTATTCAAGCTCTGACAAGTTGGTTGTTGATCATTGCTACACAGCCATTTTCCAGTCATGTCATAGATTTTCAAGTCGATTTAAGTCAAAACTGTAACTAGGCCACTCAGGAACATTCAATGTCGTCTTGGTAAGCAACTCCAGTGTATATTTGGCCTTGTGTTTTAGGCTATTGTCCTGCTGAAAGGTGAATTTGTCTCCCAGTGTCTGTTGGAAAGCAGACTGAACCAGGTTTTCCTCTAGGATTTTGCCTGTGCTAAGCTCTATTCCTTTTCTTTTTATCCTAAAAAACTCCCTAGTCCTTGCCGATGACAAACATATCTACCAGTAGGGTCGTTCCACTAAATGGGTGCCTTTTGGGCATGCAAACTTAAAAATGTACTTTCAAATATTTGTTCTTTCAACATTCAATTGCATGAAGGATATGTTTAGCCTATGGAAAAACACATTTTCCCATCTCAGGCATTAACATCCTATGAACTAAGAGCATTTTATCTGCACTTGTACCACACTGTCTGTCAACCCTGTTACGGACACTAATGTAGCTAACTGCCTAACTATTATTTAAAAGCATGTTTGAGATAAATCCAAAAATGTTCTCATTGATCAAGTATCCCTTGTACAAATAAACTCACATATAATATCAAACTGATAACGTTACAGTTGGGCCTCTAACAAGGTTGATGATAACAGGGTTGAGGTTTTAGGTGAAGATCGGCTATTACTCCTCATATGGTGAAGAGCATGGGACCACATGGTGTTCATGAAATTAGTAATTATACATACAGTGGGGAAAAAAAGTATTTAGTCAGCCACCAATTGTGCAAGTTCTCCCACTTAAAAAGATGAGAGAGGCCTGTAATTTTCATCATAGGTACACGTCAACTATGACAGACAAATTGAGAAAACAAATTCCAGAAAATCACATTGTAGGATTTTTAATGAATTTATTTGCAAATTATGGTGGAAAATAAGTATTTGGTCACCTACAAACAAGCAAGATTTCTGGCTCTCACAGACCTGTAACTTCTTCTTTAAGAGGCTCTTCTGTCCTCCACTTGTTACCTGTATTAATGGCACCTGTTTGAACTTGTTATCAGTATAAAAGACACCTGTCCACAACCTCAAACAGTCACACTCCAAACTCCACTATGGCCAAGACCAAAGAGCTGTCAAAGGACACCAGAAACAAAATTGTAGACCTGCACTAGGCTGGGAAGACTGAATCTGCAATAGGTAAGCAGCTTGGTTTGAAGAAATCAACTGTGGGAGCAAATATTAGGAAATGGAAGACATACAAGACCACTGATAATCTCCCTCGATCTGGGGCTCCACGCAAGATCTCACCCCGTGGGGTCAAAATGATCACAAGAACGGTGAGCAAAAATCCCAGAACCACACGGGGGGACCTAGTGAATGACCTGCAGAGAGCTGGGACCAAAGTAACAAAGCCTACCACCAGTAACACACTACGCCGCCAGTGACTCAAATCATGCAGTGCCAGATGTGTCCCCCTGCTTAAGCCAGTACATGTCCAGGCCCGTCTGAAGTTTGCTAGAGTGCATTTGGATGATACAGAAGAGGATTGGGAGAATGTCATATGAAACCAAAATAGAACTTTTTGGTAAAAACTCTACTTGTCGTGTTTGGAGGACAAAGAATGCTGAGTTGCATCCAAAGAACACCATACCTACTGTGAAGCATGGGGGTGGAAACATCATGCTTTGGGGCTGTTTTTCTGCAAAGGGACCAGGACGACTGATTCGTGTAAAGGAAAGAATGAATGGGGCCATGTATCGTGAGATTTTGAGTGAAAACCTCCTTCCATCAGCAAGGGCATTGAAGATGAAACGTGGCTGGGTCTTTCAGCATGACAATGATCCCAAACACACCGCCCGGGCAACGAAGGAGTGGCTTCGTAAGAAGCATTTCAAGGTCCTGGAGTGGCCTAGCCAGTCTCCAGATCTCAACCCCATAGAAAATCTTTGGAGGGAGTTGAAAGTCCGTGTTGCCCAGCGACAGCCCCAAAACATCACTGCTCTAGAGGAGATCTGCATGGAGGAATGGGCCAAAATACCAGCAACAGTGTATGAAAACCTTCTGAAGACATACAGAAAACATTTGACCTGTGTCATTGCCAACAAAGGGTATATAACAAAGTATTGAGAAACTTTTGTTATTGACCAAATACTTATTTTCCACCATAATTTGCAAATAAATTCATAAAAAATCCTACAATGTGATTTTCTGGATTTTTTTTCCTCATTTTGTCTGTCATAGTTGACGTGTACCTATGATGAAATTTACAGGCCTCTCTCATCTTTTTAAGTGGGAGAACTTGCACAATTGGTGGCTGACTAACCCCACTGTATGTTCCAAACATAATGAAAATTAAATCAAATTCCAGTTTTCCTCAAATGAATTGAGCGAACAGGCTTGACGTGTTGAGCTCGACCACCTCAGTCAAAGATGATAAAACACTTTATAAATAGACCAAAAAGAGAAAAGACTTACTTCCTTTTCCACCATGCTGTTCAGAGGAACCAAACAATGTCACCTGCTGTGAATCATTTAACTTGGTGGAATGGTCCATTATTTTAAAGGGGTAAATTGTTTGCATAACAGGGTTGGCCTTAAAATGAGAGACAGATGTAAATGCATCACTAATCACATGAATATAAATAATAATCTTCAGAAATGACTTTGCCAAAGCAGCAAACAAACAAGGCCTTTACAATGATGGTGAAAATTGGGAGAGATGTTGGGATTAAGTGGGCTGAAATCTTCCTAGAAGGGACACAGGTTTGACGGAGGGACATGTCAAAATGCTGAATTTTGGCACTTTAGCAAGCCTTTATTCATATTAAAAATCAGATTTATTGAATTCTCCATGTGATCTATATTAAAGTGCACTTAATTCAATATAACAGGCTTTTAAAATGCAATATTGGTGCATCATTTCTACTTAAAATATGAAAGGGCACCCATTTCGTGGAATGACCCAGTAAAGAATGTTATGTTGACAACACAGTTAGAACACCCACCCACATGACCATTACGCCTTGTGGATCGAATCGTTGTCAATAAAGGTGGTAATTGGGAGAATATTCAGTGTGCACACCGTATCTAAAAAAATAATAATAATAATATGGAAAACAAAAACAAGCAGTTCTTATTGGAACTTCCTGTTTCAGTAGATTTTCTACCGTTTGGTGCCAAATGAATATGACCCAGACAAGTACTGTGTAAGCCATATGTGTACGATTTAATTGGAGAATATTGTACAAAATGCACAGTACTTTTTAACTGTAATTTAAACTCCTCAACTGCTCACCTAATTTTATACCGCCCCCCTCCTCACCTGATCTCAGCCTCGAAGGGCTTGATGAAGGGCGAGCCCCGCATGGTCTGCGTCTTGACGATGTGGTCATCTAGCAGCATCTGCACCTCGTCCACCGACGACAGGATGGACGTGCCAGTCTCGCGGTAGGGCAGCAGGGCAAAGTCCATGTCGCCCCACTCCAGCGCCATCTTCTCCATGGCCTTCTCCAGCGAGTGCTCCTTGCTGGCCGCCTCGCTGACGCCCTCGAAGCTGGCCAGGTGGGCCTCCAGGCGCAGTGGCAGGAAGCGGGCCACGCAGGCGCCCTCCTCGGCTGGACGCAGCGGGAAGCCCACCACCGCCGACATGGCGTCCCAGTGGCGGTCGCGCAACCCCGGGTTACACAGCACCTTAGTTGGAGGGGATTTGGTTTACTGTTAGTCTCTTGTGTCATATACTGGGCCTGCGTCCTAAATTACCAGAGTCCATAGCTACAGTAGTAGTGCACTACATAGGGAATAGGTTGCCATTTGGGAAGCATCCAGTATGCAGTGTCTTGGCTAAGTTTGGGGTCAATGAGCCTTGGGTAACACAGCACCTAGGGTTACACAGCAACAGCAGCAGGCAGTGTCATGTATTGTATCCTCATATTACTGGGAAATGTATGATGCTATTGTTAAACTGTTGAGAACTAGCTGTAAAGGATTAGTGTTGGGTGACATGAGTTGGCCACTCCAATACAAGGTAAAAGTTATGTGAGATCTAGTGGAAAGTGCTACATGAATACAATCAATTAATTCAATGTCAGTAGTAGACAGAATAATAATACATCTAAATCAGTGCATAAATCATGAGTGTCGGTGTGATGTGAAAGGGACTGGGCCCGGTTTCGCGATAGCAATGGAACTTAGGCTTACAAGTATTTTAACGATGCATCTTTCCTACAACGGCCAAAGATGTAACATGCGTTGCCCAAAACACTACGCAGAGAGAACGGTCGCTAAGTGCGTCGTTGGAGCATGTGTCGATACTGATAGGATCGAAAGAAAGGGAGTGCTGCTCTCAGATCAGCTTTCTCCATTAAAATCTTACCTTAACATTATAATTATTTCACAATACTGACGACGAATCAGCTCCTAGAGAGATACTACCACCTACGGCTGCAAATATCAAGGCGGTTAATTCTAATAAAATGCACAAAATCACCGATTTGGCACATCATTGTGTACATGTTAGGCTACACATCATGAAATATATTGAGACAAATTACAGATAGTAGCAAGTAGCAAAAAATAACTCAACTGACTGAACATGAAATGTATTTCAATAAGATTGAAATAGACCTATAGCCTACTGTTCACACGGATTGTACAAAACATTAGAAACACCTGTTCTTTCCATGATGTAGACTGGCCAGATGAATCCAGGTGAAAGCTATGATCCCTTATTGATGTCACTTGTTAAATCCACTTCAATCAGTGTAGATGAAGGGGAGGAGACAGGATAAAGAAGGATTTTTAAGCCTTGAAACAATTAAGACATGGATTGTGTATATGTGCCTTTCAGAGGGGGAATGTGCAAGACAAAATATTTCAAATCAAATCACAATGTATTGGTCACATACACATATTTAGCAGATGTTATTGCGACTGGAGCGAAATGCTCGTGTTCCTAGCTCCAACAGTGCAGTAATATCTAACATTTCACAACAATACACACAAATCTAAAAGTAAAATAATGGAATTAAGAAATATATAAATATTAGGATGAGCAATTTTGGAGTCCAGAGTATATACATACATATATACACTACTGTTCAAAAGTTTGGGGTCACTTAGAAATGTCCTTGTTTTAGAAAGAAAAGCACATTTTTTGTTCATTAAAATAACATACAATTGATCAGAAATACAGTGTAGACATTGTTAATGTTTTAAATGACTACCGACCCGTAGCACTGACGTCTGTAGCCATGAAGTGCTTTGAAAGGCTGGTCATGGCTCACAACAACACCATTATCCCAGAAACCCTAGACCCACTCCACAGATGACACAATCTCTATTGCACTCCACACTGCCCTTTCCCACCTGGACAAGAGGAACACCTACGTGAGAATGCTATTCATTGACTACAGCTCAGCATTAAACACCATAGTGCCCTCAAAGCTCATCACTAAGCTAAGGATCCTGGACTTCCTGACGGGCCGCCCCCAGGTGGTAAGGGTAGGTAACAACACATCTGCCACACTGATCCTCAACACGGGGGCCCCTCAGGGGTGGGTGCTCAGTCCCCTCCTGTACTCCCTGTTCACCCATGACTGCATGGCCAGGCACGATTCCAACACCATCATTAAGTTTGCAGATGACACAACAGTGGTAGGCCTGATCACCGACAACGATGAGACAGCTTATAGGGAGGAGGTCAGAGACTTGGTCGTGTGGTGCCAGGATAACAACCTCTCCCTCAACGTGACCAAGACAAATGAGATGATTGTGGACTACAGGAAAAGAAACAGGACTGAGCACGCTCCAATTCTCATTGACGGGGCTGTAATGGAACAGGTTGAGAGCTTCAAGTTCCTTGGTGTCCACATCACCAACGAACTATCATGGTCCAAACACACCAAGACAGTCGTGAAGAGGGCACGACAAAGCCTATTCCCCCTCAGGAGACTGAAAAGATTTGGCATGGGTCCTCAGATCCTCAAAAAATTCCACAGCTGCACCATCGAGAGCATCCTGACTGGTTGCATCACCTCCTGGTATGGCAACTGCTAGCCTCCGACCGCAATGCACTACAGAGGGTAGTGCGTACGGCCCAGTACATCATTGGGGCCAAGCTTCCTGCCATCCAGGACCTCTATACAAGGCGGTGTCAGAGGAAGGCCCTAAAAAAGACTCCAGCCACCCTAGTCATAGACTGTTCTCTCTGCTACCGCACGGCAAGCAGTACCGGAGTGCCAAGTCTAGGTCCAAAAGACTTCTCAACAGCTTCTACCCCCAAGCCATAAGACTCCTGAACAGCTAATCATGGCTACCCAAACTATTTGCACTGCCCCCCCCCCCATCCCCCACCCTATCTTTTTACGCTGCTGATACTCTGTTAATTATTTATGCATAGTCACTTTAACTCTACCCACATGTACATATTACCTCAACTACCTCAACTAGCCGGTGCCCCTGCACATTGACTCTGCACCGGTACCCCCCTGTATATATAGCCTCCCTACTGTTATTTTATTTTACTTTACTTTTTTTCTCTACACTTTTTTGTTGTTGTTTTATTTTTTTTAAATAAATGCATTGTTGGTTAAGGGCTGTACGTAAGCATTTCACTGTAATGTCTACACCTGTTGTATTCGGCACATGTGGCCAATACAATTTTATTTTATTTTATTTGAAATGGCTATTGTAGCTGGAAACGGCTGATTATTTTATGGAATATCTACATAGGCGTACAGAGGCCCATTATCAGCAACCATCAGTTCTGTGTTCCAATGGCACGTTGTGTTTGCTAATCCAAGTTTATCATAAGGCTAACTGATCATTAGAAAACCCTTTTGCAATCATGTTAGCACCGCTGAAAACTGTTGTGCTGATTAAATAAGCAATAAAACTGGCCTTCTTGAGACTAGTTGAGTATCTGGAGCATCAGCAATTGTGGGTTCGATTACAGGATCAAAATGGCCAGAAACAAATAACTTTCTTCTGAAACTCATCAACTATTCTTGTTCTGAGAAATGAAGACTATTCCATGCGAGAAATTGCTAAGAAACTGAAGATCTCGTACAACGCTGTGTACTACTCCCGTCACAGAACAGCGCAAACTGACTCTAACCAGAATAGAAAGTCCCAGTGCACAACTGAGCAAGAGGACAAATACATTAGAGTGTCTAGTTTGAGAAACAGACGCCTCACAGGTCCTCAACTGGCAGCTTCATTAAATAGTACCCGCAAAACACCAGTCTCAACGTCAACAGTGAAGAGGCGACTCCGGGATGCTGACCTTCTAGGCAGAGTTGCAAAGAAAAAGCCATATCTCAGACTGGCCAATAACGCCATGCCATACCCTGTGGACAGCGGTTGATTGGAGCCAATTTCCTCCTACAACAGGACAATGACCCAAAGCACAGCTCCAAACTATGCAATAACTATTTAGGGAAGAAGCAGTCAGCTGGTATTCTGTCTATTATGGAGTGGCCAGCACAATCACCGGATCTCAACCCTATTGAGCTGTTGTGGGAGCAGCTTGACCGTATGGTACGTAAGAAGTGCCCATCAAGCCAATCCAACTTGTGGGAGGTGCTTCAGGAAGCATGGGGTGAAATATCTTCAGATTACCTCAACAAATTGACAACTAGAATGCCAAAGGTCTGCAAGGCTGTAATTGCTGCAAATGGAGGATTCTTTGATAAAAGCAAAGTTTGAAGGACACAATTATTATGTCAATTAAAAATCATTATTTCTAACCTTGTCAATGACTACATTTCCTATGCATTTTGCTATATGTCCTATTCAAACTCATTTTATGTATGTTTTTATGGAAAACAAGGACATTTCTAAGTGACCCCAAACTTTTGAACGGTAGTATATATATATATATATATATATATATATATATATATATATATATATATATGGTGGGTTGGAAATGATCCAGGCAATTACATTGATGGAAGCCACAATATATCTGCAATATTAAAGCTGATCTACCCCTGAAAAAAAAAAGAATGCTCCACCACCCAAAAGGACATCCAGCCAACTTAATACAACTATGGGAAGCATTGGAGTCAACATGGGCCAGCATCCCTTTGGAACTCCTTCAACACCCAATGAATTGAGGATGTTCTAAGGTAAAAAGGGGGTGCAACTCAATATTCGGAAGGTGTTCCTAATGTTTTGTACACAGTGTATATTTTAATGCACTAATCTTGTTTTTCATTTTAATCATAATTTTATACGTCACTTGTTTGTATCAATTGCAAAGACATTGGCAACTTTGTTTTGAAGTTATCGGCGGTCACAGTGAGACGGATAAGTTTAGAGGAGATCTTCTGTGTATAAAGTGACGCTGGAGGGCAAAAAAGCATCTAACGACCCACTATGAGTGGTCTGAGGCAGGTGTTAGATTATGTTTTCAAGTGCAAAGTTAATAACGATGGTTTTGGGAAACAGCTCGAGATTTAACGATGCTCCTACAAAGGTTCTAACAATGAATGTAAGATTATTTTTGCCAACAACGTAGCTAGAACATAGCAACAAGACTCCGCTAGGTACACAAAACCAAAAAGTCTGAACCCAATAAAAGAAAGTCTAAAAAGTATCTGCTCAAAAGTCAACACAAAGAGTATGTACATTCATAACACAGAATATTCGTAGCATCCTACATGTAACTGGGTTATTTTTGAATGTGCCATTGTGCCTGAACTGACAGCGGCTCAAGGGCGCTTTCCGATCAACCGCCACATACCTCTACATACCTGTACGAGGGGGATGTGCTCCTTGAAGGCCTCCACCTCAGCCTTAACGTGGCTAGCAATGTGCAGGGCCTTGGGCGTGTCCCCAAAACCCTTCTCCAGCTTGTAAAGGGCGCGCCAGTAGTTGCCCACATCGCCCTCCACCTTGTCTGGGTTGACCGCGGACAGCGGCCCGTGGACCCATTTACGGTGCTGGTTCTGGAACTCTGTGGCCGTCTCGTAGAGGCGGAGGAAGGGCTGCAGGCGGTCCTGGACCTTCTTGCGCTGCGGGTACTGGGACACGGGCCAGTTGAAGGCCTCTTCCTCCTGGTTGAAGCCTTCAATCTGTAGGGGGAAGGGGAGGTGGAGACAGAGACGTCAAGGCAAAGTGGACTGCTGGCACCATGGGCAATTACAGTGGTAACAAAAGAAAGCCATCATTAATTAATTGTCAAAAAAAATTGTCAGTGTGAAACTGTTTTTTAAAATACATGAGGGTGTGTGTTATTGCAGATACTGCACACAATCTCTAAACACAAACACTCATCATCACGTTATTATACTGTCTCTGTTGCCCTCTACAGTCATTTCAGAGAAGAACAAGAAGAATACTTTATTGTCCATTGTTATTTTCATATCAACCCCTTTCAGCAAGCACGCTAATTGCAGAAAACCCTGGCGAATAGCTGAGGGTCCCAATCCTCCTCACCTTCTCCATGGCAGTGTCCAGTTTGGAGTTAAGGGTCTGTGCCTTTTTCAGGTACTTGCTAAGCTCGGACAGGTCCCCGAAGGTGGCAAACTCCTCCGCCTGCTTGGCATAGCTCTCCAGCTCCTCCACAAACCTCTCGCACCGCAGCTAAAGGGGAAATACAGTGGGAGAGATACACATTTGGAGTTAATCGTTCGTATGCAGTATCAAAAGAGGTGAGTCAGTGGTATTGTACTTAAAGCGGGCAAGACTAAATATATGTTGTTCTCTAATTCTCGCAAAAACATTTCAGATGGACTACATACTGTATTTATTCATTGGATGGTTCTCCCATCGATCGGGTTCCCACTGATAAATATCTGGGCATTTGGATTGACAAAGACTTAATGTTTAAACAAATATATATGAATGAGCTAGTTGAAACGCTAAGATTTAAAGTGGGCTCTTTAAAAAAAAATATATATATATATATATATATATATATATAGATCCCTAAATAGTAGGAAGCAGATTCTACAGTCAACTTTCCTGCCAGTTCTTGACTATGGTGAAACCATTTACCAGATTGCAGCAGCCACTACTCTTAAACCTTTGGATGCCGTCTACCATAGCGCCCTTCGCTTTATCACAGGTGACAGTTTTAATACTAACCACTGCATCCTGTATCAAAAGGTTTGCTGGTCCTCATTAAAATCCCATATATCACTTAATGATTCCCTTTTTGTTTACAAAGCTCTCCTACACAAGCTTCCAACTTACCTAATTGTGTTGCTAACGTATAAAATTAGCTACCAAACCCGCTCGCAGGATTGGCGAACTCTTGAGGTTCCTCGGGTCTCGACCAATTTATGTAAATCCTCATTTAGTTTTAGTGCCAACATTGTTGGAATAACCTACAAAATTCCTTGCATCTTGTTTCCCTGGTGCCGCTTGGAGAGTTTAGGACTCAGGTGTTGAATGAATTCATTGAGGATTGCAGTTGTTTCGATTGATTGTAGTGGTTTATTTGTTGTAATTGTGGTGTTGAGGTTGTGCCTGGTGGTTATTTATATTCCTCTTGTTTTATTTGTCATGTACATTTTCCTTCCTGTTTGTGAGAAAATGTTTGTACTCAGGGCACCATTGGGAATGAGTCTCAATTGTGCTACCCTGAATAACTAGAAGTTAATAAATGGTCTGGACATGACAAGTAGCTTTTTTAATTAATGGTGAGTTTTGTTGCAAGGTCATTTTAATACAAAGTACTGTATGTCATTGGTGTGAGGAGGAGAATTGGTTGTTTTAGGTTGTGAGGGTTTGGTGTACTGTTAACTTTCAAGAGTGGCTTAGACAGATTATCAGGGTCGTGTTCATCAGGCACCAAATTTACAAAAACAGAGTGAAACAGGGAGGGACTACCTGGACCTGGTCCAATAATAAACGCTAATTTTTGTTTTCAGTTGCACAGCATTTTACTACAATGTGTGCTAATGAATACACCCGATATGGTTTGTTTTACTTCCACTCTCCCTCTGCTGTCTAACTGACCTTAAGGCCACCCTGGTACTGCTCCGTCTTCTCCCTGGTGATCTGCCGGTGCTCCTCGAAGATGGAGGGCATGCGTGTGTGCCACTGGAAGGTCTGCCGGTTGAGGCGCATGTCCACAGGGGAGAAGGTGACATAGTCCACTAGGAAACACAGACGGGTCTTGGACTCTGACAGCTTGGTCTCCAGGAGGGGCATCTCCGTGGCCTCCACCTTGTCCACAAACACCTGGAAAAGTGGGAGAGAATGTGGTAAATTCTGGGAATAGGAAACAAGAAGGTCATAGTGATGCTTACTTATATTTACAGATGTGTTTGCTGGTTTTTGTGAGGTTCATTAGGAAATGACAAGGGTAACAATTTCAAGTACTTTAAAATTCCTAAAAAATAAATGGTAACCGCTTGATATGGTACGTATTATTTATTATATAATGTGTTTAACAGGGACAGTACACAACAATCAAATCAGACAATGCTGAGGTGTAATAATGCTGGACTTAGTTAGACAGCTATTTTTCATCCATAGTGTGACTTGTTTTAATGAATCCCAAGGAAACTGACTGAAGACCAGACTCAAAATAGAAAAATGTAGGACTATTGTATAAAAGTCACTGAGCCGTAGAGGAGGCTGTTTCAGAAACACAGCCAGGGGACACAACAGCCCCACAACAACCTCTCATGGAACTCATAATGACCATTGAGGAAATAGAATCCAACTCACACAGGACTCATATTTATTTATTTATATATGCTGTATATTTTCATGACGAGGTTTGAAGTGGAATTGATGTACTGTAACAAAAGTAAGACAGTAACAAAAGCAAATGGCAGTAACAACAGAAGAATAAATCAAAGAAAAGGAGGCATGTCCATACAAAGAGAAAATGAAAACTGATGAATGAAAAAAGGCTGGTCAGTCGTGAAATTCCTCATGAAACCCAGACAAAAAAAGACTGTGATTTGGGGGATTTTCACAAAATGTAATCCATAGAATGGTCCTTTGGTGGAAGGATTGTTGACATATATTTGAGTAATTTGTGTCATATGAAGCTTTACTGCTTGCTCTGTTATATGAGTAGTATTTTGATTTCAATAAAAACATATATATATTAACTTATGAATATCTTTATATAATGAAGAGATGGTTATGTTTCCGCCCTAACAATGGGAGTTGTCCCAAGGCGGGCAACATGCTTTGGACAGATTTTGGTGAGAGTGAAACCTCTCGCTTCGCCTCTTCCTCTCTGATACTATGCTTAAGCAATAACGCACGAGGAGGTGTGGTATATGGCCAATATACCACGGCTAAGGGCTGTTCTTAAGCACGACGCAACACAGAGTGCCTGAATACAGCCCTTAGCCGGGATATATTGGCCATATATCACAAACCCCCAAGGTGCCTTATTGCTATTATAAACTGGTTACCATGTATTTAGAGCAGTAAACATAAATGTTTTGTTATACCCATGGTATACGGTCTGATATACCACGGCTTTCAGCCAAATAGCATTCAGGGCTCGAACCACCCAGTTTATAAATGCATACAAGGACCAGACATTTTTCATTAAGAGCTTAATGGAATCATGCAACAATAGCAAGCCTATGGTCTTACAGTCAAAAGGCTATAGCCTATTATTGAACATGCAACTCCTGTAATGAAGCAGCTAATAAAACGTCATTTTCAAACATTTGCCCAAATGCAATTTGCACAAAACACAGTTCTAAACAGTGTTGCCAAGTTCGCAGTTTTGCTGCCAAATTGGGCTACTTTGAAAACGATGTCGCGGGTGAAAATGTATCGGTCGCAGGTTTTTGGGCTATTTCTAAGTTGCACCGTGGCCGCCATGGCATTTCTCTTAAATAATATATATTTCACTGTAACCTGCTGCTGACTGTCAGGCAGTGAGGCAGGCAGTTGCTGAGTGAGTGAGTGAGTGGTGGGGAGGGCTGGAGGAGTGGGTGTGAGTGAGTGTGTGTGTGTGTGTGTGTGTATTTTTTGAGAGAGCATTGGCTGAGTCACGTGAGCGAGAGGAGAGAGAGCAGCACGTGCGCATATTGTGACAACTTTTTACCAGTTGTAGGTAGGCTATTGAGATTGTCATTATGGAGACAACCTATTTCCAAACTATTTTCCATAAAACATATTAATACATACGCTAGAACTGATGCACATCAAGAAATAATGGAGACAAAGCACTGGAAAATGACTTTGGGCGCACTAGAGCGCATTACATAAATCCGCTTGGAGGTGGTTTAAACTGCATTCTAATGTTGATTGCTTAAAGAAAACGATATGAAGCGAAGTGCTTTATGCATGCTCAGTTCTTGGGTCTCGGGGGCTGCCTGAGTTGAAATTTGAAATGTAAGTTATGTAACTCCCTCGTGTGGTTCTTTTTATGGGGAAAAGTCCTCAATGAAACTGACATTAGGCTAAATGTTGAGAATTATACATTTGCCTCTGTTGGCCATCAAGTAGCCTATTAATGTATATGCCATTGTAGGCTACCATTTGATACAATAAATATGTTGCAATTACGATATCAATGGAGTCGTTGCAAATCAATTTGTGCCAATTGTGTAGCCTACCTGGAGCTGGCAAACCAATTGAATAATAGCCTATAACTTCAGTTTATTGTTGTTGTAGCCTTGTGTTATGATGAACACATTAGATTGACGGTAACAGTAGTCAGATTAGGCTACAGGTAAAACACATTTAAAAAAAATAAACACTGGCTGTTGTTGACAAGCATATTCAGTTCATACATATTATTTATACTTATATCAATTTTTATTTGTCACATGCGCCGAATACAACAGGTGAAATGCTTACAAGCCCTTAACCAACAATGCAGTTTTAAGAAAAGTAAGAGTTAGGAAAAATATTTACTAAATAAACTAAAGTAAAAAATAAAAGAGCAACAATAAAATAACAATAACGAGACTATATACAGGGGGTACCGGTACTGAGTTAACGTGTGGGGGTACAGGTTAATCGATGGTAATTGAGGTAATATGTACATGTACAGTGGGGAGAACTAGTATTTGATACACTGCCGATTTTGCAGGTTTTCCTACTTACAAAGCATGTAGAGGTCTGTAATTGTTATCATAGGTACACTTCAACTGTGAGAGACGGAATCTAAAACAAAAATCCAGAAAATCACATTGTATGATTTTTAAGTAATTAATTTGCATTTTATTGCATGACATAAGTATTTGATCACCTACCAACCAGTAAGAATTCCGGCTCTCACAGACCTGTTAGTTTTTATTTAAGAAGCCCTCCTGTTCTCCACTCATTACCTGTATTAACTGCACCTGTTTGAACTTGTTACCTGTATAAAATACACCTGTCCACACACTCAATTAAACAGACTCCAACCTTTCCACAATGGCCAAGACCAGAGAGCTGTGTAAGGACATCAGGGATAAAATTGTAGACCTGCACAAGGCTGGGATGGGCTACAGGACAATAGGCAAGCAGCTTGGTGAGAAGGCAACAACTGTTGGCGCAATTATTAGAAAATGGAAGAAGTTCAAGATGACGGTCAATCACCCTTGGTCTGGGGCTCCATGCAAGATCTCACCTCGTGGGGCATCAATGATCATGAGGAAGGTGAGGGATCAGCCCAGAACTACACGGCAGGACCTGGTCAATGACCTGAAGAGAGCTGGGACCACAGTCTCAAAGAAACCCATTAGTAACACACTACGCCGTCATGGATTAAAATTCTGCAGCGCACGCAAGGTCCCCCTGCTCAAGCCAGCGCATGTCCAGGCCCGTCTGAAGTTTGCCAATGACCATCTGGATGAACCAGAGGAGGAATGGGAGAAGGTCATGTGGTCTGATGAGACAAAAATATAGCTTTTTGGTCTAAACTCCACTCGCCGTGTTTGGAGGAAGAAGAAGGATGAGTACAATCCCAAGAACACCATCCCAACCGTGAAGCATGGAGATGAAAACATAATTCTTTGGGGATGCTTTTCTGCAAAGGGGACAGGATGACTGCACCGTATTGAGTGGAGGATGGATGGGGCTATGTATCGCAAGATCTTGGCCAACAACCTCCTTCCCTCAGTAAGAGCATTGAAGATGGGTCATGGCTGGGTCTTCCAGCATGACAACGACCCGAAACACACAGCCAGGGAAACTAAGGAGTGGCTCCGTAAGAAGCATCTCAAGGTCCTGGAGTGGCCTAGCCAGTCTCCAGACCTGAACACAATATAACATCTTTGGAGGGAGCTGAAAGTCCGTATTGCCCAGCGACAGCCCCGAAACCTGAAGGATCTGGAGAAGGTCTGTATGGAGGAGTGGGCCAAAATCCCTGCTGCAGTGTGTGCAAACCTGGTCGAGACCTACAGGAAACGTATGATCTCTGTAATTGCAAACAAAGGTTTCTGTACCAAATATTAAGTTCTGCTTTTCTGATGTATCAAATAAAATGCAAATTAATTACTTAAAATTCATACAATGTGATTTTCTGGATTTTGGTTTTAGATTCCGTCTCTCACAGTTGAAGTGTACCTATGATAAAAATTACAGACCTCTACATGCTTTGTAAGTAGGAAAACCTGCAAAATCGGCAGTGTATCAAATACATACATCTCTTGTTAACAAACTATAGTTTAGTTTGTTGAACACAATATACTCTACTGGCATATATATATATATATATATATATATATATATATATATATAGAAAACAAACAAAAAACAAAAAAAAGAGAAAAGAAAAAAATATTTAAAAAAAAAAAATATTGAAAATGAAAAAAGAAATAAAGATAAAAAAAGAAAATGATAGTAAAATATATATATATTTTTTTTTAAGATAAAAAATAATGATGTATGCACTCACTAACTGTAAGTCGCTCTGGATAAGAGCGTCTGCTAAATGACTAAAATGTAAATGTAATATCAAAGTTCCAGAGTGGGATCTCAGTGAGTATTAAAGTGATGGCCCATTTTATATGGAGAAATTGGCATAGTAGGCAATAAAACCAATCACAGCCATCCTTTTACTTGTATCATTGCACACCCTGCAAATCACCAGCAGAGGGGGACCATTTTGAATCCCAGAGTTCTCCCCAGGATTATTTTAGAAAGTGGTGCTGCTGAGTATGGCCAGGGGGAGAAAACATGTAACTGTCATTTCCTGCAATCTAGAGAAAAGATTGCCTTATATGATAACAAATAAATATGATGACAAAAAATATATATATTTCGTTATTTTATAAATAGTTATTTTACATAGTGGCACAGCCAGTCCACAAGGTGGCGAAACCTGAATCCATTTACTCTGTTGGTAATGTTTACAAATTGGATCCTAACTCTAAAAGCAGCAGAGATCACACTCTGGAACTTTAATATGCCCGTAGAGCAGGGGAAACCAAACTTGTTTGGCCCTTGACCCCATTTTCATATAAAACACCATGTAAAAAAAAAGTGATGTAATCAACAGCCAATGTTAACTTTTTTAATTGGGGCTATGCTTGTCTATTACAAATCAGTCTGACAGTACTTTTGACCACATTTCAATCTGAAGGAAGTATGGTTTGAAGTGACTAAAATCCATCAGAAAGGTATTAGGAAGTTCAGAAAATCATCAGGCAATAATTCTGTATGATCTTCTCTGTGGAAAAGAACATCATCATTGATGTTCTTTTTCTCCCCGTCTGATTTAGTAACTGGTCTTGTCGACTCTGTTCAAATTAGGCTTATGGGCATTGTAGAGGGAATCAGAAGACACATGCGTGTTCGATGGGTCATAATATTTTGTTCCTTAAACCGTAAAAAGATTGTACACACTTATTTATTGTACTATGTCAATATGTATTTGTTGTCAATGTTTTGGCGTCAATCTGGTGGCAGTTGTGAAAAAAGTAAATAGTTGGATGAGGTGCAGAGGTAATGGAAAATAATGCCATCGTTAATTAGATGCTTTTTTCATCAATTAGGCTATTTTCTCTTCAACCAAATGTTCTATCTACTAGAAACTCATGAACAATATGGACAAAGATATAAAAAATTATACTATATTTGAAAAAATATATATATTTTTTAAATCCCCCCAGAGCCACCAGTCATAAGCTTTAAGAGATGTCCTACCCTAAATGACAAATTAGTCCACAGCTATCTTCCTGGTGACTCTCAAGAAACTTGGCTAGACCACAAACCAAGGGGCTCTTTTAAATGCAACCAGTGCAACCATTGCAGAAATATTGCACAGAAAAAGTATACAGCTTCTCAAATGGAGTTTCAATTCAAGCATTTCGTTAACTGCAAAATGTATGTCATCTACAGATTGGAATGTCCACAGTGCAAGGTGTTCTACATTGGACGGACAAAGAGACGCCTTCAAGACCGCTTAGCGGAACACAAGTACGCCATACGGGTAGGCAATGAAAACTAAAGTCCTTACACCATGGCAACCCTGCCTCCCTACAAGCTACGGGTATTGATCATGTTCCGGCCTCGATTAGAAAAGGGGACCGTCTTAAACAGCTAAACCAAAGGGAATGTTTTTGGATTTACAAACTACAGGACACTAAGTACCCTGTAGGGTCCTGAGAGGTCCCTTTGCTGTCATCTAGTGGACATTTTGCTCTATTGCCCTCAGCTATGTTTAGACTGTTGTGGTCCATGTTTAAAGCGTTCTAGTGTACTATAAAATAGATGGCGCTCCTATTCTTAACACTTTGCCCAGTCATATTCAAGGTTAGCCTTGAGATGCATGTTTTATAACATATCTACAGTATTTAACTTTGTAATGTGTATATTATTGCTTCATAGGTGTTGTCCAATGAATTCTGAAACCACTCCCTCAGGGTTGATTGGAAAAAGCTGTTCAAAAGAGGACATTGTATTATCATATCTTTGTACTCCCTGACGAAGGCCATGCAGCTGGAATGGGTCAGAGTTTTAAAACTTTGTTTCCATTGAACATGCCATACAAATAAAGGCATTTTAATTAATTATATGAAGAGTGCCTTGGTCCTCCTTTCTTTTTGATGAACAATTTACCCCTTTTACCAAAGAGCACCTTCTGTTTAAAAGTTATTCAATTATAAATGACCAAAGATACGATAGATAGATGCAGTAAAGGAGTCAATGGAGAGCAGACCATTCCATTGACCAGATAGGCGCACATTCAACAAATCTGATCTAACAAAGTGGATATTCGTGAAATCTGTCATGATTTATGTATTGCAACAGGCACTTAAGTCAGATTTTGATATATTTTGCTGTTTTCGGTGGATAACATTTAGATGTTGTCCCTTTCCAGGTTTAGAAGAAGTGACTGCTAAAGGCTTAACTCCCATTCGCATAGATGGTTTGGCCGACAACGTCACTAAAATGATGTGCGCGCTTCCATGGGGCAGAAGTCAACCCGTTGTTGTGATTCTGGATGACCAGATTGCTAGTATGAATGACAAGAAACTGCCATAGTAGCTTGTTTCATCTTGTTATCAAATAAAATCAAATGTTATTTGTAACATGCGCCGAATACAACAGGTGTAGACCTTACTGTGAAATGCTTACTTACAAGCCCATAACCAACAATGCAGATCAATAAATAAAGTAAAAAATAAAATAAAAAGTAACGCAATAAAATAACAATAACGAGGCTATATACAGGGGGTACCAGTACCAAGTCAATGTGCGGGGGTACAGGTTAGTCAAGGTAATTTGTACGTAGGGGTAAAGTGACTATGCATTGGCATTTACTTTGTAGAGCAACCTTTTGCAGCTGCAAGTCTCTTGGGATATGTCTCTATAAGCTTGGCACATCTAGCCACTGGGATTTTTGCCCATTCTTCAAGGCAAAACTGGTGTACAGCAATCTTTAAGTCATACCACAGATTCTCAATTGGATTGAGGTCTGGGCTTTGACTAGGCCATTCCAAGACATTTAAATGTTTCCCCTAAAAACACTTGAGTGTTGCTTTAGCAGTATGCTTAGGGTCATTGTCCTGCTGGAAGGTGAACCTCCGTCCCAGTCTCAAATCTCTGGAAGACTGAAACAGGTTTCCCTCAATAATTTCCCTGTATTTAGCGTCATCCATCATTCATTCAATTCTGACCAGTTTCCCAGTCCCTGCCGATGAAAAACATCCCCACAGCATGATGCTGCCACCACCATGCTTCACTGTGGGGATGGTGTTCTCAGGGTGATGAGAGGTGTTAGGTTTGCGCTAGACATAGCGTTTTCCTTGATGGCCAAAAAGCTCAATTTTCGTCTCATCTGACCAGAGTACCTGGTAGTCTCCCACATGGCTTTTGGCGAACACCAAACGTGTTTGCTTATTTTTTTCTTTAAGCAATGGCTTTTTTCTGGCCACTTTTCTGTAAAGCCCAGCTCTGTGGAGTGTACGGCTTAAAGTGGTCCTATGGACAGATACTCCAATCCCCACTGTGGAGCTTTGCAGCTCCTTCAGGGTTATCTTTGGTCTCTTTGTTGCCTCTCTGATTAATGTCCTCCTTGCCTTGTCCGTGAGTTTTGGTGGGCGGCCCTCTCTTGGCAGGTTTGTTGTGGTGCCATATTCTTTCCATTTTTTAATAATGGATTTAATGGTGCTCTGTGGGATGTTCAAAGTTTCAGATATTTTTTTTATAAACCAACCCTGATCTGTACTTCTCCACAACTTTGTCCCTGACCTGTTTGGAGAGCTCATTGGTCTTCATGGTGCCGCTTGCTTGGTGGTGCCCCTTGCTTAGTGGTGTTGCAGACTCTGGGGCCTTTCAAAACAGGTGTATATTTACTGAGATCATGTGACACTTAGATTGCACACAGGTGGACTTTATTTACCTAATTATGTGATTTCTGAAGGTAATTGGTTGCACCAGATCTTATTTAGGGGCTTCATAGCAAAGGGGGTGAATACATATGCACGCACCACTTTTCCTTTCTAAATTTTTTTTATTTCACTTCACCAATTTGGACTATTTTGTGTATGTCCATTACATGAAATCCATTTAAATTACAGATTTAATGCAACAAAATAGGAAAAATGCCAAGGGGGATGAATACTTTTGCAAGGCAAAAGGTCCTTGGTGGCAGGAAGCTTGGCCCCAGTGATGTACTGGGCCGTACGCACTACCCTCTGTAGCGCCTTACGGTCAGATTTTGCTGGGGGGCAATGAGGAGATTTGGGATCTATACCCCATGCGTTTCCATGGCAGTTCCATTGTTTTGGTTGAGTTCAATTGAACTCTTTGCCACAACTATTGCAATAGATTTTCTGTTAATGACCAAAATTACTGAAGATTCTGGTAACTTTGGTAAATTACCGGTAGCTTTGCAACCCCGGCCTAGGGTTATTATTATATTATTTTAGATACAAATGTCAAATATATGTCAAGATTCCTTCCTCCAAAAGACTATTCTATAGATTACATTTCGTGGAAATCCCCAAAATCATGGTATTTTATGTCTGGGTTTTGAATCCCTCATGATACACACTGCAGCAGCGGCAGCAGCGAGTGTGACGGGGGACCTTACCTTGAGCTCCATCATTTCCTGTGTGTTGGGAGGGGTGCTCAGTGCCTTCTCGGCGATCTTCTCAAATTCATCACAGAGCCTGCAGTCACACACACGCAGGCACGTGCACGCACACACAGGACACACACACACACATGCACACAAGCACACATGCACACACAGGGGATCTGGTAATTCATCACAGAGCCTGCAGTCAGATCATATTAGAGCGAACTCAGTGTCGTTAGCAGCACAGCCAGGCCAGAGCACGAATGTCTGACTAGTGAATGATAGCACTCTACAGGGAGCTCTGAATAGTATTGGGATTTAGAAGGTCAATAATGTAGTGCTATAACACTTGTTTATGTAAAAAAAAAAAAAAAACATGTTCACAAAGTGGGGTCAGCTAAGGTCCTGCGCTCTATTTGGTATTGGTCAAAAGTGAGAAGTTTGACTGCAGAAAGTATTTTTATGCCCGAGGTATTTCTTGAGGAGAAACTTCACTCTGACAGAGCACTTTCTGCAATGGCCTCAGGGATGATTTTTGTGTGCGCTTTGTTGAGGCCTAAGGCTCATTCTGAGAGAATGGGAATCTTTACAGGGTAGAAAAGTTACTCACTTCTTGTTCATTTCCTGGTGGTTTTCCAACATATGTGTGACCAGTTGTTGCCGCAGTCCCTCGGCACGCTTCACCAGGGCACGGACAAGTTCGTGGCAGTGCACCTCGAACATACCCAGTCGCACCACCTGTTGAGCACAATTTGGCAGAGAAGAGAAGACAATGAAAAATCTCTATATGCAACAATGTTTGAACGACCAGAGCTTGTTAACAACGCTGCTTGAAACTGGTGTTGTTACCCTAACTCCTAGCAACACTTTATCATGGTCAATACCAACAATGGTTGCAATAGTCTATCACTGCTCAAAATAACTGCAGTGAAGCGAGCTGCCCAGTGACAAGGGCCTACCAGACGAGCTAAATCCCTTATACGCTCGCATCGAGGCAAGCAACACTGAAGCATGCATGAGAGCATCAGCTGTTCCGAATGACTATGTGATCACGCTCTCCGTAGCCGATGTGAGTAAGAGTTGTAAGCAGGTCACAAGGCCGCAGGGCCAGACGGATTACCAGGACGCATACTCTGAGCATGTGCTGACCAACTGGCAAGTGTCTTCACTGACATTTTCAACATGTCCCTGACTGAGTCTGTAATACCAACATGTTTCAAGCAGACCACTATAGTCCCTGTGCCCAAGAACACTAAGATAACCTGCCAAAATGACCACCGACCCGTAGCACTCATGTCTGTAGCCATGAAGTGCTTTGAAAGGCTGGTCATGGCTCACATCAACACCATTATCCCAGAAACCATAGACCCACTACAATTTGCATACCGTCCCAACAGATCCACAGATGATGCAATCTCTATTGCACTCCACACTGCCCTTTCCCACCTGGACAAGAAGAACACCTACGTGAGAATGCTATTCATTGACTACAGCTCAGCGTTCAACACGATAGTGCCCTCAAAGCTCATCACTAAGCTAAGGACCCTGGGACTAAACACCTCCCTCTGCAACTGGATCCTGGACTTCCAGACGGGCCGCCCCCAGGTGGTAAGGGTAGATAACAACACATATGCCACGCTGATCCTCAACACGGGGGCCCCTCAGGGGTGCGTGCTCAGTCCCCTCCTGTACTCCCTGTTCACCCATGACTGCATGACCAGGCACAACTCCAACACCATCATTAAGTTTGCCGACGACACAACAGTGGTAGGCCTGATCACCAACAAAGATGAGACAGCCTATAGGGAGGAGGTCAGAGACCTGGCCGTATGGTGCCAGGATAACAACCTCTCCCTCAACGTGATCAAGACAAAGGAGATGATTGTGGACTACAGGAAAAAAAAAGAGGACTGAGCACACCCTCATTCTCATTGACGGGGCTGTAGTGGAACAGGTTGAGAGCTTCAAGTTCCTTGGTGTCCACATCACCAACAAACTATCATGTTCCAAACACACCAAGACAATCGTGAAGAGGGCACGACAAAACCTATTCCCCCTCAGGAGACTGAAAAGATTTGGCATGGGTCCTCAGATCCTCAAAAAGTTATACAGCTGCACCATCGAGAGCATCCTGACTGGTTGCATCACTGACTGGTATGGCAACTGCTCGGCCTCCGACCGCAAGGCACTACAGAGGGTAGTCCGTATGGCCCAATACATCACTGGGGCCAAGCTTCCTGCCATCCAGGACCTCTATACCAGGCGGTGTCAGAGGAAGGCCCTAAAAATTGTCAAAGACTCCAGCCACCCTAGTCATAGACTGTTCTCTCTGCTACAGCACGGCAAGCGGTACCGGAGCGCCAACTCTAGGTCCAAAAGGCTTCTTAGCAGCTTCTACCCCCAAGCCATAAGACTCCTGAACAGCTAATCTTGGCCACCCGGACTGTTTGCATTGTCCCCCCACCCCACCCCCTCTTTTACGCTGCTGCTACTCTCCGTTTATTATCTATGCATAGTCACTTTAACTCTACCCACATGTACATATTACCTCAATTACCTCGACTAACCTGTGCCCCCGCACATTGACTCTGTACCGGTATCCCCTGTATATAGCCTCCCTACTGTTATTTTATTTTACTGCTGCTCTTTAATTATTTTTAATTTTTGACTTATCAATTTTTTCTTAAAACTGCATTGTTGGTTAAGGGCTTGTAAGTAAGCATTTCACTGTAAGGTCTACACCTGCTGTATTTGGCGCATGTGGCAAATTAAATTTGATTTGATATCCTCCTAACAAATCCAAACAGTCCATACCCTCAGGCACCCAGTACCTATTGAGTATATCTTCATTTCGTATGTTTATCATGTCACAGGCCAAAATGTCCTCAACAAAGATAAAGTGTGTTTCACCTTCCATAAATGAATTTACTTTTGAATGTAGGCCTACTTATTGTTATTATCCAAAATGAGCAATTCAACTTCCATAGTGTATCTTTAAAATTGACTAAAATTTAACATTTGGTCTAAACTAGATCCACACCTTGCTGGAGCTGTACTGGATCTCGTCGGCCAGCTGTTGGTAGCGGGTGACCTCCATCATGATCTCCGGGAAGGAGTGCTGCTCGCGGAGGAACTGCTCCACGTCATCCTGGGCCTGCTGGGACACCAGGGGAGCGTACTTGTCGTAGAGGCGCACATGGTCCAGAGGCCCGGAGCTCTCCTCCCAGATTACCCTCCTCAACTCCTCCTGCTGGGCCTGCATGATCTCCGGGAGGACGATGGGCTTGAGCGTGCCCCCGCTCTGGCAGCCCGGCTTGGGAAGAGCGGGGTAGGATGGAAGGTAGATGAGGTGATATGTTGGGTGTTAAGTCTTATACTCGTGCAGTGAGATGTGAGGGTTATTGACAGACACACAAACAGACATAGTAGGATCTATACTTCTTCCATTCACGCCAAAGAGAGTCAAATGCTCAGGGTCATCCCAACATACACACACACACACACACACACACCTTGACTTTTTCCACATTTTGTTAAGTTACAGCCTTATTCTAAAATTGATTCAATGTTGTTGTTTTTTTCTTCTTCTCATCAACCTGCACACAATGCCCCATAATGACAAAGCAAAAACAGGATTTTATAATTTTTTGCTAATTTATAAATTTAAAAAACTGTAATATCACCCTTACATAAGTATTCAGAGCCTTTACTCAGTACTTTGTTGAAGCAACTTTGGCAGCGATTACAGCCTCAAGTCTTCTTGGGTATGATGCTAAAAGCTTGGCACACGTGTATTTGGAGAGTTTCTCCCATTCTTCTCTGCAGATCCTCTCAAGCTCAGTCAGTTTGGATGGGGAGCGTTGCTGCACAGCTATTTTCAGGTCTCTCCAGATATGTTCGATCGGGTTCAGGTCCGGGCTCTGGCTGGGCCACTCAAGGACATTCAGAGACTTGTCCCGAAGCCACTCCTACGTTGTCTTGGCTGTGTGATTAGGGTCGTTGTCCTATTGGAAGGTGAGGTCCTCAGCGCTCTGGAGCAGGTTTTCATCAAGAATCTCTCTGTACTTTTCTCCGTTCATCTTTCCCTCGATCCTGACTAGTCTCAGAGTACCTGCCTCTAAAAAACATCCCCACAGCATGATGCTGCCACCACCATGCTTCACCATAGGGATGGTGCCAGGTTTCCTCCAGAAGTGACAATTGGCATTCAGGCCAAAGAGTTCAATCTTGGTTTCATCAGACCAAAGAATCTTGTTTCTCATGGTCTGAGAGTCTTTATGTGCCTTTTGGCAAACTCCAAGCGGGCTGTCATGTGCCTTTTACTGAGGAGTGGCTTCCGTCTGGCCACTCTACCATAAAGGCCTAATTGGTGGAGTGCTGCAGAGATGGTTGTCCTTCTGGAAGGTTCTTCCATCTCCACAGAGGAACTCTAGAGCTTTGTCAGGGTGACCATCAGGTTCTTGGTCACCTCCCTGATCAAGGCTCTTCTCCCCCGATTGCTCAGTTTGGCCGGGCGGCCAGCTCTAGGAAGAGTCTTGGTGGTTCAAAACTTCTTCCATTTAAGAATAATGGAGGCCACTGTGTTCTTGGGGACCCTAGCAAAGGGTCTAAATATTAATGTTAATAAGGTATTTATGTTTTTTTATTTTTTATAAATGTGCAAACATTCCAAAAACCTGTTTTCACTTTGTCATTATGGGGTATTGTGTGTAGATTGCTGATGATTTTTATTTATTTAATCAATTTTAGAATAAGGCTGTAACAAAATGTGGAAAAAGTCAAGGTGTCTGAATATTTTCCGAAGGCACTGTATATTACCCATTCTGAGTAGAGCTTTGTCTCCACACGCGGCACTAAGCTGATGGATTTTAGCATGATGTCGTAGACGTTGAGAAGGATGACCTCAAAGTCTTTGAAGTCAGGCTCAATCTTGATGTCGTTCTCATCCAGGATCAGACGCAGGACAAAGCCTGGGTGCTCATAGGCCCTCACCGAGTACTGGGAGATAGGACCCCAAAATCAAAATGACTGGCATACACTGTGTGTGTGTGTGTGTGTGTGTGTGTATTGTAGTTACCGGGTCCTGGGCAATGAGGTGTGTGTAATCCTGGATGGACTCCAGTGCTAGGCTCTGGAGCTGTGAGGTCATCAGGGCAGCCACACAGTTGAAGAAGGACTGCAGTTTGGCTGCGTTGGTGTTGCTGGGGACCAGCTTGCGTTTGTTCCCCTGGTAGTAAATGTGCTGAACTTCGGGAAACCACCTGTTCAGAAGCACACAGTTAGGGTATAGGCTAGAAATGGAAGACAGACACAGCCCGGCTAAGATGCTACTTTTCACTGAAATGGCACCTCGGAAGCCTGCTACAGTTATGTTAAGGTGTTTGGCTGTATCAAGCACAGGAGGTTGGTGGCACCTTAATTGGGGAGGACGGGCTCGTGGTAATGGTTGGAGCATAATGAGTGGAATGGTATCAAATACATCAAACACATGGGGTGTTTCTCAATATGCATTCTACCGTCCTCCACACTCTCATGCTTCGAGAGCATTCTCCAATGACGTTCTCTTGAGTAAGTTATTGTGAGGACGAGTGTGGACAATGCATAAAACATTACATTTGAGAAGCACTCACACTCCCCCTACTGTATGACCTCACGCTTCACCTCCCCATTCACTGAACCTTCTTCCAGCCAGGACAATGGCAACAATAGACGAAACAAGATATACACAAAGCAAACGTTTTTATTCATAATTATCAGCTAGTTATGTGAATCATAATAATCTATCTAGCCAGCTAGTTAAACAGGCAAAAATGACCTCAAACTAATGTTATGCAAGGTAGATGTACATTTCTCGTGGGTAGCTACCAATTCTTCATGGCTAGCTAGCTAGCCAATTAGCCCTATTGACTTACTATGGACTTGGGACTTAGCCATTCACTGAACCGTCTTCCAGTCAGGACAATGGCAATAGAGACGAAACAAGATATACACAAAGCAACCGTTTTACTTCATAACTATCAGCTAGCTATATGTGAATCGTAATAATGTAGCTAGCCAGATAGTTTAACAGGCAAAAATGACCTAAAACTAATATTATGCAAGATAGATGTCAATTATTCATGAGGTTGCTAGCTAACAATTCTTCGTGGCTATCTGGCTAGCTAACAGTTGTAGCTAGCCAGTTAGCCCTATTGAGTTATGGGCTTGCGATCTACGGTATGTAGGCAGGTAAGCATGCCAAAATGAACACAGCATGTATTTATTAATGTATCAAGATAAAATATTGTTTTCAGGCAACATATGACATGTGAATAGTCAACATTTCATTATCGCTTCAGCTCAATAATTTATTTCAAGAAATGTTGCATAATTTTTTACTTTGTTGCTTCATATTTCTTTGCATACTTTTCGTTGAAGCTTGCATCGACGCACATTTCTAAATATTTACAAACGGAGCACGCATTCGAGAAGTGCCCTCCATGCTCCGTTTCGCATACTTTGATTTGGACTCATACTCCAACTCTGCCGTGCTCCAATTTGCATGCTCAGAGCATGGTAGAATGCATTTTGAGAAACACCCATGGTTTCCATGTGTTTGATGCCATTCCATTTGCTCCATTCCAGCCATTATTATGAGCCGTCCTCCCCTCAACAGCCTCCGCTGGTATTGGATTCCAGTGTTGGATTCTAGCTTGAAATATACTTATTCATGTTACTATATGAGAACTTATTTGATTACTATACATGTATAATGAATGTATATGTTGGGGTTAATGGAGGGATAACAAATAGGTGTGTGGAAACTTACTGAGTGAGGAAGGGGGAGTGCAGAGCTTACATTCTGTTAGAACATGTTATTGTTAAATCTCATGGATCCTATGGAGTGAGGAAATTGGTAACCGTCTGGTTTCAGTAACTGGTAGGACAGCCGTGAATTAGGGAGGAGTGAGGAATTCGGGCCATGGTCAGGTCAGATGAAGTGAGAAGGAACAGTCACCATTTAAGTTCCTGCCTAGCAACAGATATGTATTGGCTGTCTAGAGGTGAAAGGAGTGGACTCCGCCTAGAAGGAGGGTATAAATATATGTGCTTGTGTAAACATGTATTTGTCTTTGACCCAGTGGGTGAATAAACTTGGTTTGAGCTATGACTAGTTGTCCGTTAGGTTCTGACAAACAGAGTGAAAAACTAACAGTTGGCGTTGTCGGCAGGATTCACCACGATTTACAGTTGAACTGGTGAGTCCGAATCAGTGGAGCAGGAGCCGGCACAAAAAAACAAGGTAGGCACAGTTCCTACAACTGTTACCACTCATTCTGATATCTTGGGGAGATGAGAGTCATAGGCTGAACAATAATAGGATACGGACCTAGAAAGCCTGAGCTTATACAGTAGTCCCATTGTCTTTCGACCGGTTGTAAATACATGGTTTAGGGTAGGTTCCGTAAGGATAGTTCCCGAGTGGGGGTGTTCCTCTGCGAGATCCATAGAAATACATGGTTTAGGGTAGGTTCCATTAGGATAGGTCCCAAGTGGAGCTAGCTCTCTGCGAGATCCTAGAGTGGCACTAGAGTGTTGGGTAGGTTCTGTGTAGGATAGGTCCCTAGTGGGGATATTCCCCTGCGAGATCCGTAAGAGGGACAAAAGTCCCAGCCGCAGTGGCCGTGAAGCCGTAGGGTGTGTGTATGTGTGTATGAATGTTTGAACATGATTCGTGTGTAGTAGCAGTAGCAATAGATGTATTGGTTTATGCCCTATTGGGGCGTGGAACCATGACAGATTAGGTGGAAATAGGAGGACAACTGTGAGTAATTATGGTAATGAGCGATGTTGGGAACAGTGGTATTTATGTAGAGAAATTGGACTAAAACCCCTTCCCCATGCTACACATTAGTCTTCCACAATTGCCTATGGGGAATTGAGACACAACAGTGTCATCCAGCACCAAAAGTATACGGAGGGGTGGACAAATTACTGGTAGCCTAAGCTGTTAATACTTAACGCCGTTGGGGGGCGATGCCGAGTCAATAATAACTGATATCGCTTCTAGAGGCCAGGAGACTCCCGGAGTGGGAGGGGTAGAAGGGGGAAATGTTACCAAAGCATTAGAGGCACTAAAAAAGGCATATGATCAGCACCAAGAACCAAATAAATGGTGGGGAAAATTAACCAAACTGGACAAAATTGGTACACATCCCGTAGATGGAAAGTTTAAAACCAGCCAGGAGTGTATGGATGCAATCGTAGTGTGGAATACTGAAATCAGAGAACGGTCCAGACCACAATATGCAGGCATCCTAACCACGGCATTTTATCAGCTGCAGTAAAAGATGGAAAATCAGAAAAATAGAGAACTGCGAGGTAAAATGGAAGGGCGTGTCCGAAGGGCGTGTGCATAGATTAGATGAACAGAAGCAGGAATTGGCTATTGCGCTAGAAAAGAGTAAAAACCTAAACCAGGAATTAGAGGGAGCCCTTGAGGATAGACAAAAACTAATAAAACAACTCATGTGTGGAGGAGTATATGCAATTCCTCCGACGTTCGCCCCATGCTACAAGGTGAAACAGGTCACATCTAGTGGGCCACCATTATACCCCTCTCTTAAAGAGGAAAAAGACTGATATGGGTTGCGACAGGCAAATTACGAGGCAAATTACGAGTCCGGATATAGTAGTACCGGACTGGATAGTGTATCAGCATGATCCAGGTAATCATAGAGATGTGCGCCCCGTTCGAACACACGCGACCCCGGTTACATATTATCTGGGACAAATAGTACCATGGGAGGACAATCCTATTCACGAAGACGCGCATCCCCAAGTACGGATTCAAATTCAGCATCACCATCAGCCACTGATTGTGATCGAAATGCGTAGTATTATGAAAGAGGCACCGGATTCAGTTAAGGAGGGACAGGAATTTATCAGTTTCCTAAGGAAACACTGTATCATTTTGGGGTTTCATGCTGGTGATTAAGATCATATTGTACGCTCGCTTTTGCCAAAGGCCATGTTGCCAACACTCGCACAGGGATATCGAACGTCGGCTTGGTCCTCCGGACGCGAAGCATGTGACCCGGAGACTACAGTTGGGAATATATTGTTTCGACCGGATGCAAATTAGTAACTGTAGTCAGGGTCCAAAAGAATGAATACAAAATTATGTGGATCGGATGGATGATGCGTTACGTACTAATCTGACAATGGGGGGTCGTTTTCTGAAATTGTTGAGCCACTTACAGAATTGACGAAAGGGGGGGAAGGGTCCCCATGAAAGAATAGAGTGGAGTCAAGAGTGTGAGGAAGCGTTTGTCGAGCTAAAGAAGCAATTGTGTCAAGCGCCAGCATTGGGGTTGCCAAACCTATAATTACCTTTTAAAATTGTAGTGCAGTAGATACACAAAATCATGGGGGAAAAGAGACCAGTAATGTACTGGAGTAAATCGTTAGACTCGGTGGCGAGAGGAATGCCACCGTGTCTGAGGGCAGTACAAGAGACAGAGATGGTGTTGCTTAACAAGGCTTCGATTACAATGGGGCAAAAAGTGGATCTGTATGTTCCACACGCTGTAGCAACCATAGTTAACAGCACAAAAGCACAACATGGACAAAATGGGAGTTAACGTTAAATGGGGAAAATCTACAATTCCATAAAATTGGTGCTTTGAATCCTGCTTCATTAATGCCTTTGCCTGGGGAGGGTGAATCGCACATATGTGACCCAGATCAAATTACTCCAAAGCCTCGGCCCGATTTGCAAGAGACATAATTGGAATCGGGCTCTAGCTACATGACCATAGAAGGAAAGAGAGTAACAGGGTACGCTGTGTGTGATGACAGGGGTGTAGTAAAGGCTGGCCCACTGCCAGTCTCTGTGTCAGCCTAGGGGGCAGAGTTATACAGTGGGGAAAAAAAGTATTTAGTCAGCCACCAATTGTGCAAGTTCTCCCACTTAAAAAGATGAGAGAGGCCTGTAATTTTCATCATAGGTACACGTCAACTATGACAGACAAAACGAGAAAATAAAATCTAGAAAATCACATTGTAGGATTATTAATGAATTTATTTGCAAATTATGGTGGAAAATAAGTATTTGGTCAATAACAAAAGTTTCTCAATACTTTGTTATATACCCTTTGTTGGCAATGACACAGGTCAAACGTTTTCTGTAAGTCTTCACAAGGTTTTCACACACTGTTGCTGGTATTTTGGCCCATTCCTCCATGCAGATCTCCTCTAGAGCAGTGATGTTTTGGGGCTGTCGCTGGGCAACACGGACTTTCAACTCCCTCCAAAGATTTTCTATGGGGTTGAGATCTGGAGACTGGCTAGGCCACTCCAGGACCTTGAAATGCTTCTTACGAAGCCACTCCTTCGTTGCCTGGGCGGTGTGTTTGGGATCATTGTCATGCTGAAAGACCCAGCCACGTTTCATCTTCAATGCCCTTGCTGATGGAAGGAGGTTTTCACTCAAAATCTCACGATACATGGCCCCATTCATTCTTTCCTTTACACGGATCAGTCGTCCTGGTCCCTTTGCAGAAAAACAGCCCCAAAGCATGGTGTTTCCACCCCCATGCTTCACAGTAGGTATGGTGTTCTTTGGATGCAACTCAGCATTCTTTGTCCTCCAAACACGACGAGTTGAGTTTTTACCAAAAAGTTATATTTTGGTTTCATCTGACCATATGACATTCTCCCAATCCTCTTCTGGATCATCCAAATGCACTCTAGCAAACTTCAGACGGGCCTGGACATGTACTGGCTTAAGCAGGGGGACACGTCTGGCACTGCAGGATTTGAGTCCCTGGCGGCGTAGTGTGTTACTGATGGTAGGCTTTGTTACTTTGGTGCCAGCTCTCTGCAGGTCATTCACTAGGTCCCCCCGTGTGGTTCTGGGATTTTTGCTCACCGTTCTTGTGATCATTTTGACCCCACGGGGTGAGATCTTGCGTGGAGCCCCAAATCGAGGGAGATTATCAGTGGTCTTGTATGTCTTCCATTTCCTAATAATTGCTCCCACAGTTGATTTATTCAAACCAAGCTGCTTACCTATTGCAGATTCAGTCTTCCCAGCCTGGTGCAGGTCTACAATTTTGTTTCTGGTGTCCTTTGACAGCTCTTTGGTCTTGGCCATAGTGGAGTTTGGAGTGTGACTGTTTGAGGTTGTGGACAGGTGTCTTTTATACGGATAACAAGTTCAAACAGGTGCCATTAATACAGGTAACGAGTGGAGGACAGAGGAGCCTCTTAAAGAAGAAGTTACAGGTCTGTGAGAGCCAGAAATCTTGCTTGTTTGTAGGTGACCAAATACTTATTTTCCACCATAATTTGCAAATAAATTCATAAAAAATCCTAAAATGTGATTTTCTGGATTTTTTTCTCTCAATTTGTCTGTCATAGTTGACGTGTACCTATGATGAAAATTACAGGCCTCCCTCATCTTTTTAAGTGGGAGAACTTGCACAATTGGTGGCTGACTAAATACTTTTTTCCCCCACTGTATGTGTTAGCCGAGGCCTGTAGGTTGTCGGAAGGGGAGAATGTTACAATATACACTGATTCTCAATATGCATTTTGGGGTAGTTCATGATTTCGGTACATTGTGGTCTCAACTGGGCATGTTAACGGTTACAGGAACACCAATTAAAAATGGACATGAAGTAGAAGCATTATTAGAAGCGTGTCAGCTACCCAGTAAATTAGCAGTGGTGAAATGTGAAGCTCATACTAGTCGCACAGATAAAATAGCCATAGGGAATCGCCGAGCAGACGAAACGGCCAATGAGGCAGCCTTAGTAAGAGAAGGTGTTAAGGAATGTAAATATTGTAAATACCAAGGCTGGGATTCTAAGTGTAAAAGATTTACAGCAGCAAACTAACAAGAAAGAAATGTGGGAGTGGTTAGAACATGGGTGCCAAGTAGACACTGAGGGGTTGCTGTATAATACTACCACTGGAAGGCCTGTAGCACCAAGCGGGATACATTTTACTCTTTCTGAAATGTATCATGGACCAACACATCAATCGGCTGTGAACATGTATTCCCAGTTCTCTGAGGTGCAAGGAGTGGACTCCACCTAGAAGGAGGGTATAACTATATGTGCTTGTGTAAATATGTCTTTGTCTTTGCAGCTGTTTGACCCAGTGGGTGAATAAACTTGGTTTGAGCTTTTACTAGTTGTCCGTTAGTTTTTCACTCTGTCTGTCAGAACCTAACACAAGCCAATGTGGAATCGCTAGCTAGTTAGCAGTGCACTTGTAGTATTCATCCTGCAAGTGACATCAATCCTCCTGAGACCTGAAGTAGTTGTTTCCTTTCTCAGCAAGGGACATGGCCTTTGTGGGGTGATAGGAAATGTAAGTGCAAAGTGTCAGTATGCAGGTCCCTGGTTCTAACCCAGTGGGGACCTACTCTATTACATGTATTCATACTTTTTGAGGAGAATGTCCTTGGCACACTCAATGTGTCTGGTGACTAGATGCTGGAAGATGGAGAGCTCCATGGACTCCTGCCTGTTGTGGAACTCCTCAACATCGATGAGACGCATCTTCCTACAAGTAGAGCGTATGGGGTGAGAGATTAAAGAAAAAGAGAGGCAGACATAGAGCAGACAAGATGGCAATAAAGAATATAAAGGCTTGGGACAGTGAAAGAGAAGAAAAAGATAGAAGGAAATAAGACTATGAGAATAGGATGGAAGTGTCCTCACTTGAAAGACACATGCCACAGGTCCAGTACTGACAGCATAGTGGGGTTGATGGCGTGCAGCTTGTCTCTCATCCTCTTTTGAGCATGAAGGAACGATTTGTTCCATGGTTTAGGGACCACCTCCATTCTTAGGAGTGAAAATGTACAGCAAGGAATAGAGGATAAGAAGAAGTTTAATATTTTTAAGAGGAATACAATTTGACAAAAAAAGGCTAGTTAGAACATTTAAGGTCTTTGTCAAGTAACTGAAAACCATGACAGTCAAAATGTTGCTTTATTAAACAACCAAGTTGGGGACCAACAAAACACTAAGGAGACATTCCTTTTTTTCTATAGGCAATTAATCTGAGCCCAAGTGGTTTTCTCCCCCTGATTTGCTTTGGGGTCTGTGTTATTGAAGAATAACATCAACCGCTAACAGGACCAAGTGTGTTTCAAAGTACTGCACATATTGTCACATCCTCTCTCCATTTTATGGGACTTACTCAACTCTGTGAGGAGGAACATCTTTGACCTTGTCTTCATCGTTTTCCCTTGGGTCCCGAAGTACGAAATCCACTGAAACGGCGACAACAAAACAGCATTACTTAAAAAGCAAGTCTGTGCAGCAAAAGACAGAGAGAATAATAATAGATATGTACATTTTAGAACAGAATCTAGAGACGTTATTGTTATGCATGTGCTACCGTGAAAGCTGGAGGTACAGAAAAAATCAGAGTCTACAGACAGATATGTCTTAATGATCATTTAAAGAACAAAGATGGATTCGTGTTGGGTTAAGTACCGATGGCTTTCTTCACACTGAGCAGGTAGTCCTCCTTCATCTCGTCTGATAGCAGCTCTATGGTCCTAGTCAGCCTCTTCAGGTGAGTGGGCACCAGGTCCAGAACATTCTCCAGCCAGGAGTCCTCCATGGCTGCCACATGCTCTGTGTCGATCCCATTGCGGATGTAATAGTAATATCTCTGACAAGGTGGCCATAAAAAGATAAGACACATTAAAGAGGCAATCCACAGTTGCTACATTCATTTTTTTGGACCTATTAATTAACGATATATACCCAAATAGCACCTTCCCTTACCAGGATATCCTTCTCTGTAGCTGTGGGGGACCCACAGGTAGGGGGCTGACTGTCCTCCACAATGGTTTTACCACTGGCAGACTCATGCTGCCTGAAACACAGGAGAGATTTGGTTAAAGGATAATGTTGTATTTTAGTGAAAAGTGCTACCGAGCATCAGGTGAGTCGGTGGGTGGATGTTTGGATGGATGGAGATGAATAGGCCATGTATGGATTGATTGATTTTTTGATTGGACTCACAGGATTATGCTGACCAGGGCACTGCGGAAGTGCTCTCGGTCTTTTTTGGGCTGAGTGTGGCTACTGCTGCAATGTTTGGAGGACTCTGATGACAGGCCAGCCTCTCTGCTCTGGGAGTCCTCCAGACCTCTGTTCAGGCTCTGGTAACGCCTGGTCCCCGACCCTCCACCCAGCACATCTCCTACAGTGGACAGTGGAGACACATCAATATAGGTCACATAAGACACATACAGTGAGGGAAAAAAGTATTTGATCCCCTGCTGATTTTGTACGTTTGCCCACTGACAAAGAAATGATCAGTCTATAATTTTAATGGTAGGTTTATTTGAACAGTGAGAGACAGAATAACAACAACAAAAAATCCAAATGTCAAAAATGTTATAAATTGATTTGCATTTTAATGAGGGAAATAAGTAAGTATTTGACCCCCTCTCAATCAGAAAGATTTCTGGCTCCCAGGTGTCTTTTATACTTTTATACAGGTAACAAACTGAGATTAGGAGCACACTCTTAAAGGGAGTGCTCCTAATCTGAGTTTGTTACCTGTATAAAAGACACCTGTCCACAGAAGCAATCAATCAATCAGATTCCAAGCTCTCCACCATGGCCAAGACCAAAGAGCTCTCCAAGGATGTCAGGGACAAGATTGTAGACCTACACAAGGCTGGAATGGGCTACAAGACCATCGCCAAGCAGCTTGGTGAGAAGGTGACAACAGTTGGTGCGATTATTCGCAAATGGAAGAAACACAAAAGAACTGTCAATCTCCCTCGGCCTGGGGCTCCATGCAAGATCTCACCTTGTGGAGTTGCAATGATCATGAGAACGGTGAGGAATCAGCCCAGAACTACACAGGAGGATCGTGTCAATGATCTCAAGGCAGCTGGGACCATAGTCACCAAGAAAACAATTGGTAACACACTACGCCGTGAAGGACTGAAATCCTGCAGCGCCTGCAAGGTCCCCCTGCTCAAGAAAGCACATATACATGCCCGTCTGAAGTTTGCCAATGAACATATGAATGATTCAGAGGAGAACTGGGTGAAAGTGTTGTGGTCAGATGAGACCAAAATTGAGCTCTTTGGCATCAACTCAACTCGCCGTGTTTGGAGGAGGAGGAATGCTGCCTATGACCCCAAGAACACCATCCCCACCGTCAAACATGGAGGTGGAAACATTATGCTTTGGGGGTGTTTTTCTGCTAAGGGGACAGAACAACTTCACCGCATCAAAGGGACGATGGACGGGGCCATGTACCGTCAAATCTTCCCTCAGCCAGGGCATTGAAAATGGGTCGTGGATGGGTATTTCAGCATGACAATGACCCAAAACACACGGCCAAGGCAACAAAGGAGTGGCTCAAGAAGAAGCACATTAAGGTATTGGAGTGGCCTAGCCAGTCTCCAGACCATAATCCCATAGAAAATCTGTGGAGGGAGCTGAAGGTTCGAGTTGCAAAACGTCAGGCTCGAAACCTTAATGACTTGGAGGAGATCTGCAAAGAGGAGTGGGACAAAATCCCTCCTGAGATGTGTGCAAACCTGGTGGCCAACTACAAGAAACGTCTGACCTCTGTGATTGCCAACAAGGGTTTTGCCACCAAGTACTAAGTCATGTTTTGCAGAGGGGTCAAATACTTATTTCCCTCATTAAAATGCAAATCATTTTATAACATTTTTGACATGCGTTTTTCTGGATTTTTCTGTTGTTATTCTGTCTCTCACTGTTCAAATAAACCTACCATTAAAATTATAGACTGATAATTTATTTGTCAGTGGGCAAACGTACAAAATCAGCAGGGGATCGAATACTTTTTTCCCCTCACTGTATAGGGGGGGGGGGGGGGGGAATATAAAGCATAGTATTGCCTTGTCCACGCAGTTACAGTGGATGGACATCATCATATAGGTCAAAAAGAAACATATGGGGCATTGGGGTGACGGGATTATATTCCACGCAGTCACAGTATGTGAGGCTAAGAAAAAACATGGTGAGGGAAGTCAGTTATGACATCCATAATTTCCTTACCACTCAATTCACTGTTTGTGGAGGGTGCGTGTATGTTTAAAAAATCCATAAGTCTTGTTATTGTAAGGAGCTATGTCAACTCATTGATTGCAACATACAATGTGCTGTTCTCCATTTGAGTCACCTTTGGTGAATTATATGTTTTGAAAACTACAACGGAGTTGAAACTATGTCCTATTTGCTACCAGCCTATATCAGTGAGAACATAACTTACCGGAGAATCTAACTGCCGCCCCAAAGCCATGGGACTCTCCTCTGACTGGCGACTGCAGAACAAAGGCAGGAGCTGTCTCCTGCCACTGGGGTTTGGAGCGGATCTTTGAAGACGAATATGATGGAATAGTTGAGTGCAAAATGAGAGAGTATGGGACTAATGACTTTAAACAATTGGAAATGTAACAATTGGATTGTTAGTTATTGGAGTTACACCACCCACACTTTCTATAATGCAATACCAAGACATTATGCTTAGCATGTAGTGTGCAAACTTGTCTGTTACATATGCTTACTGGTTAGCAATTGCCAAAGCCTGGGAGACTGATGTTAGGCACCGTACCTGTGGAAGTTGTGGTAGGAGGCGGGTTGAACTGTCAGGGATCTTGGGCAGCTTCTTATTATGCAAAGACTTCTGTGAAGAGAACGTTGAACATTGTCATTCAGTCCTAGATGGCTAGCTGGACATGACAAATGTCACTGAGTAACAGTTATATACTGTATACAGTGCACTCGGAAAGTATTCAGACCCCTTGACTTTTTCCACATTTTGTTACGTTACAGCCTTATTCTAAAATGGATTAAATAAAATGTTTCCCTCATCAATCTACACACAATACCCATAATGACAAAGCGATTTTTTTGCAAATGTATTAAAAATAAAAACATAAATACATTATTTACATAAGTATTCAGACCCTTTGCTATGAGACCCGAAATTTAGCTCAGGTGCATCCTGTTTCCATTAATCATCCTTGAGATGTTTCTACAACTTGATTAGAGTCCACCTGTGGTAAATTCAATTGATTGGACATGAGTTGGAAAGGCACACACCTGTCTATATAAGGTCCCACAGTTGACAGTGCATGTCAGAGCAAAAACCAAGCCATGAGGTTGAAGGAATTGTCCGTAGAGCTCCGAGACAGGATTGTGTCGAGGCACTCCACCAATCAGACCTTTATGGTAGAGTGGCCAGACGGAAGCCACTCCTCAGTAACAGGCACATGACAGCCCACTTGGAGTTTGCCAAAAGGCACCTAAAGGACTCTCAGACCATGAGAAACAAGATTCTCTGGTTTGATGAAACCAAGTTTGAACTCTTTTGCCTGAATTCCAAGCGTCACGTCTGGAGGAAACCTGGTACCATCACTACGGTGAAGCATGTTGGTGGCAGCATCATGCTGTGGGGATGTTTTTCAGAGGCAGGGACTGGGAGACTAGTCAGGATCGAGGGAAAGATGAACGGAGCAAAGTACAGAGAGATCCTTGATGAAAACCTGCTCCAGAGCGCTCAGGACGTCAGACTAGGGTGAAGGTTCACCTTCCAACAGAACAACGAACCTAAGCACACAGCCAAGACAAAGCAGGAGTGCCTTTGGGACAAGTCTCTGAGTGTCCTTGAGTGGCCCAGCCAGAGCCCGGACTTGAACCCGATCGAACATCTCTGGAGAGACCTGAAAATAGCTGTACAGCGACGCTCCCCATCCAACCTGACAGAGCTTGAAAGGATCTGCAGAGAAGAATGGGAGAAACTCCCCAAATACACGTGTGCCAAGCTTGTAGTGTCATACCCAAGAAGACTTGAACACCTTCCTAATATTGAGTTGCACCACCCCACAGGGATGCTGGCCCATGTTGACTCCAATACTTCCCACAGTTGTGTCAAGTTGGCTGGATGTCCTTTGGGTGGTGGACCATTCTTGTTGCACACAGGAAATTATTGTGAAAAACCCAGCAGCTTTGCAGTTCTTGACACAAACCAGTACACCTGGCACCTACTGCCAAGCCCAGTTCAAAGGCACTTAAATATTGTGTCTTCCCCATTCACCCTCTGAATGGCACACATACACAATTCATGTCTCAATTGACTCAAGGCTTAAAAATCCTTCTTTAACCTGTATCATCCCCTTCATGTTTTGTACACTCAGTGAATCTATACAGTCATGTGAAAGTTCTTTATTTTGTAGATATTTGGACAGATGGATATGTAATCTTCACTTCAACACTATTCACAGATAAAGGTAACCTAATTTAACAAATAATACTGAAAGATTATACTTTGCAATCAATTATTCATCAAAAATCAACAGAAATGCTGAAAAAATAAGTACACCCCTAGCTTCAATAGCTGGTGTTGCCACCTTTGGCTGAAATAACTTAATGTAGACGTTTCTTGTAACTGTCTATCAGTCTCTTACACCGACTGGGAGGAATTTTTGCCAACTCTTCTTTACAGTACTGATTCAACTGTGTCATGTTCGAGGGCTTTCTTTGTTTAACATTTATTTAAAAAAAAAAAAAAAGTGTTAAACTGGGTTACCTTTATCAATGAATGTGGTTGGAATTTAGCTCAAATATCAACAAAAAAAAAAAAAAAATACTCCAGGGGGCGTACTTACTTTTTCATCTGACTGTATATCCATTTATTGTCGAAGAATGTAATTACAGCCTAGGTACCTAGGTACTGTATAGGCTACATGACTATTATATGCAATTGTTCATGTTTTTGTTGTCATTTGAGTCTTTGTAAACAAATAATGTAGCTTCAAAATGTATTTTAAGCCACAGTCTGTCCTGCTGTTCCTTAGCCCAATAATGGAGGGAGCCTAAGGTTACTCCTTATAGTCCAAGGACCTTACATGTTCTGTTTAGAGGCAAATTGACTATGGCTGCCAAAACAGACAAATACTACATCTAAACGTGAATCGAAAATTGCAGTACGGTTCTAGAAACATAAAAGGCCTCTACTTTCATATCACAAAAATAAATTCACAAATGCAAAATATGCATTTACTGTACACTGTTTTAACCGGTTTTAACACAGTTGCCGCCGTCAGTATTTTTCAGTGACAACACGTCTTCCGTTTACACACAGGTGTTCAGAGACGCAGATAGATAATTAGCATAGGTAGTCGACTCTGAAATATGGCCGTGTGGGAACCCTAATCCTATAAAGGTATGTAGAAATGTAACCTTTTATTTTAGAAAATTATTTCTCGCTGAAATGAAAGATACGTTCCGACCTTATATTTCCAAAACCGTACCGCAAGTGATGCATGTTAATGTTCAGAGCAAGCGTCGGCGGTCTTAACAAAACTCCTCCGGCCAGAAGATACTATCAGAAGGCGCTAAAGGTAGGCCTAGTTTACCCACTTGGCACAAAATGGTTGAATCAACGTTGTTTCAATGTAATTTGTCAATGTATTGTGACATGGAATCTACGTGGAAAATACATTGGATTTGCAAAAAGTCATCAACGTAAATTGTTGTCAGGATTAAATTTCAACCACAGGATTATGTCATCATGGTAACCACATTTGTACATAGACAACCATTGACAACCATAGACAATTTAACATATGAATTGGTAGACAAACTGAAATTAAAGCCAGACTAAGTCAGTGGCACAGATGGAACTATCCAAGCAGAAGATAAATCTCCTTAAAATGTTGATATTTGGTTGCATTGACAACCAAACAATTCACTATCACTTTTGAAATACAATAAATAGCCTATTAACTTGTCGTGAAGTTAACTAATTATATGTTGGATTCATTTCTCCATCTCAACCAAAAAGTTAAAGAATGGGATTAAGCCAGTGGTTCAGATGGAACTAATTGCTAAATGTTGATATATGGTTGCGTTGTCAACCAAACACAATTCAATATTTATTTTGCAATACAGTAAATAAGTTAAGGCTACCTAAAAAAATAAATAATGTAACATTCAACCTTAAAATGAGTAACATCCACTGCCAAATTGAGGTTACTATAACTATAAATGTCTTCTCAATTAATCATATGATGTGTGCATGTTCAAGATAGCATGCATAGGTCGTAGCAAGTCTGTGGAGATCTTCACAATTGCTGTAATCTGCACAGAATCTCGAACGGCATTAATCACTTGCACCATGTACTTTTAATGTAATCTCAATTTCTATCCAGGTCATTTGGTTCTGCTATTAGATTAAGCACACTGATAACACATTCATATGTTGTATAAATAAAACAAATCTCTTGACATTGTATTCCCATTTGAACTTTGATGTGCTAGACATTTGGGTGACAACTAAACCAAAAATCTGACTGTTTTTCCATTGGAATTTGGTTGTGCTTTTAGATGGTTGAAAGCATAGTGACATTGGACATTCAACTAACTTGTGGCTGTCTTTTTGAGTGGGTGAATATAGGTTAAATCAAATTTACCAACGTCTCAGCCAAATATTACCCAATTATCCACGTTGAAATAATGTGGTGTGCCCAGTGGGTAAATCTATGAATGGGTTAGCTGTTCCTGCTGGTCATTGTTAATATGATATTCCATTGCCATCCTCAGTTTCCCAAACAAAGTGGCATTGCGCAGGGTTAGGCTAACGTTAACGCTGTCAGAATCTTGGAGATTTTAGTTAACTTTAGTAATTTAGCTATTATGTGGGTCACGTTAGAGCAAACTCACCTGAGCTTCCATGTTGAAGAATGTAAAGAAATGATGTTTACCTCTTCATACTAGTGATTGCCCTATTTAAACAAATGTAACTTTTGTAAACTGTTTGAAGAACTGGTCGAAGTCAGCTAACGTTAGTTAGAGGAAGTAACGTAGCAACGTTAGCGGCACATAAAATATTGTCACCACATAATTTTCGCAAAACGCTACAACTAAGAAACCTGCATGTTCCTCCCTTCTTTGCAAAGCTAGCTAATAACTTTTTTTTTCTTTTTTTTTATACAAGTATCTAACAATTGTATGCCCATAAAATGTGGCGTTATCTGGTTTCTTTCATAGCTAAAATCAGCCAAATAAGTATATTTCTCCTTTGGTTTCAGCGTTTCGGATAGCGAGCTGTTGCCACTTGCCAGTCTGGTTGCTAAGGAAGCGACGCGTCATGTCTCCTCATCTCAACCACGCCCATTCCTGTACTGGAGGCTACAGGGCAATTCCATTATAACAGAATTACGCTGAGACTCAGATTTTTCACTTAAAAATGTATGCCAAACAAAAACGAATGATTGCAAAGTTAAACAACCCATGCAAATCTATGCACAAGGACTACTTTTAACAATTTCAACAAAATCGCATTTGCTTGAAGAACAGTATGAAAATGTATGCACTCACTAACTGTAAGTCGCTCTGGACAAGAGCGTCTGCTATGTAAATGCCACAGTGCAGACCGCCAGTCCATTCTTTTTAAGCCAATGAGGGCGATTGTATGGTTGCCATTACAGGATGCAACTTGCATTCAATTCTAGTTGCTTGCAACTGAGTTGCTTCTTGATTGCTTCATGAAACGACCCCTTGCAACTAATAAGTAACTCATCTGCAGCTTGGTTGCATCCAGTTGAAACTTTTCAACTTTGTGCAACTAGTTGCAGCAACAGCCCATCAAAACAAGATGTATGC